CTCAGCTCCCTTAGCTGCTCCTCATCAGATTTGTGCTCCAGACCTTTCCCCAGCCCCATTACCCTTCTCTGGGCGCTCTCCAGCATGTCCATGTGTTTGTTGTAATGAATTAGACATTGTAGCCTTTTACCCTTGTTCTTGGTCCAGACTGCAGCTGGTTGGTGGCCTCTGATTGCCAGCATGTAACCTAACCAGTCTGGCTTTTTTTCATTATTATATGAATTAATTTTCTGGAACAAAAGTATGGAACAGAAATTCTTGGAGTCTGATTCAAGAGCTTCTGGATACTATTGGGAGAACCGAACTGAAAATCAGATCAACACTGACAATGCAGACAACTACTTCAAGATGTCACCCTAAGGTTTTTTGCATAAATTTTGTGTGAATGAATTTTTAGAGAGACATAAAACCAAAAAAATTATTAATAAAGCCCATATGTTTTAATTCTCATTTTCATCATAATAGTACCCCAAAACTGCATTTCTCTATTAATTTTAGGTTAGTTGTTCTTAAGTTATTTGGTAAGAGACATTATTGCATAGACATGATTAATTGGGAATTTGTAATCTGCAAATTTGTTTCACAGTGAGTCTATTCTGTTTTAGATGAGCCTTATTTTTCTTTAAATTTTAATGGAATTGTGCTGCAAGTTAAATTGTATTCAGATGCCATTTTACCAAGAGCTAGATTAATTCATAGAAATGTCACCTTATTCTTCTAATACATTTCATTAATGTCTTCACCCAAATAAGAGACACAAGACACTAAAGTTGCCAAATGAATGAGCATGGAAAGTTCAAATTACGTGGAGTAATGTACTCCTAGGAAGACATCTGACATATCTGTAATTTTTATTTGTCCCTTATTGTCTTGGGTTTAATTCATGGTTAGAAAATAAAAACATTCAGGCAGAAGGACAGTCATTGATGCAAAACATAAGGAACTTCAGGCATACGTCTCCCATGACATTGTTCTCTGTTTACCTCCTTGTGCCCAGCACATCTATCATTCCATCTTTACAGACTGAATGGTAATGAGTGGCAGACACTCAGCAACAATATCTGATCAAGACAGGTCCAATTTTAGTTTCATTCTACTTCAGAGTGGTGTGACTTCACTGTTTGATATGCCATGTTTTTGACAGCAGGAATGTCAAAGTAAACAAACCTTGCTGAGCTGTAAGCTTTATTTCTCTGTGCTTGTTTTTGCTGGGACTTGGGGGTTGTCAGCATGGGCTTTTACGTGATTAAGTATTTGTAATAGTTTCCTGTGTGAACACTTCTTCACACTCAGAAAGCATTTGTGTGACTTAGCTTGGCCTGTTTTAGAAATGCTTGTAAAAAGAGCTAGTTTGGTTATCTGTTCAGTTTTAAATTCACACACGTCCTTTTTTACAGCAGTTTTCCCATTATAGCATAGTTTTCCCATTCTCACATTGTCATAATCTAGAATTAGTTTTGTCTCTTTATAAGAAGACCCTGTGTATAGAAAACTATCTTGTTTATTTCAGGAGGGGCACTTAGAACAGGGGAAGAGAATTGCCCGCTGCATTTGATTTGTAAGCAATTAGTAAGTTCTCACAGTAGATCAGCTATGGAAGTTGCTCACTTTCTTAGGAGTGAGAGTATTGCTTGTACAGTGACTGTATCAACACAGTTTATTGACCTCTTGAAAAACTCACCCCTAAACTGTATAATTTTGTTAATACTTAAACTAAAGGCATGTCTTAGAACGAAGTGAAGGGTTTTGGAAGTGTCATAATGTAGCAAGTTATGAACAGTGTGGAATTTCTTCATCTAGCATCACACTGACAAAGAATGTTGTGAGCTGATGAAAAATTAAATATATTTGTTAGAGGGTGGATTTTTTTTTTTCCATATACAGAAACCAAGCAGCTTTAAACTGTCCTGAAGAAGTTTGTGCAACACTGTTTTTTTTCCTATATGGCTGAATCTTACACATAGCTTTAAATCTTTCCTAGTAGCTGAAATGTAAGGGTCTTTTATGTTGTTGTTAGTCAAGTAGGATTTGTAGGGTAGTTTCAAGGGACCTTTTTATTTTCACTAAAATAATTTGGAATTTGATCTTAAAACCCAACCATTTTGCTGAAGTTTATCAGCCATTTCTATCTAGAAGCTGATGAAATGTTGTCATCTACACCATTTCTTCTGATTATGCAGTCGAGTGCCTGGATATCACATATCTGTATTGAGACATGGTATGTTACTTGTTGGGCTGAATCAGTTTTTCTAATGAACGCTTCACATCTGCAAAATTAACTCCCACAACAGCTAGAAACTTCTGAGTATTGCTGCTTGAATTTCATGCAGTTTGTTACCTGAATCTCTTACCAACCTTGTTTTTGTTTGGTCTTAGACTGTCCTGACTATACTCTCAGCACTACATTCCTTTCCTGTTCCCAAGGACTCCAGCACTATTTCTATCCGTGCCATACCTGTTCTTCAGAAATCCATGGAAACCCTCAGGGTAGGAGTGCCCCCTTTCTCTCTTTTGTTTATTTTTTCTGTTTTCTTTCTCTCTCTTTTCTTCTTTTTTCTTCTGTGGAATGAGCTGTGCTCAGCAGTTATGATGGAAAAGAGGCTTTCCTCAGGCAGCACTGTTCCTAGTCTCAGGCTATTCCTCACTTCTTGGATAGTCCTGAACTGCTGGGCTCCCAGTGAAGACTTCCATGCCTGGACAACAGAGTGCCTGTGATTTCTCAGTAAATCTGAAATCACTTGTAAGACTTTACTCAGTGAAGGTAAAAGCAAGGTAAGATTATTTAACTTCAGAGGAGGATGGTTAAAAGAGAGTCAAAATCTGGAGTGACATAAATGCAGAGGTATAACTGTACTTTGTAGCTGCCTGTATTTTAGTGTGGCTCCAAGAGGTTATCCCTCTCTGCTTTGTTTAACTAAAAAAGCTGCCAGGAGACTTCATGCAGTGGGGATCCATTCCTTAGATGTCACCTGTCCAGGTGACATATCCTGCACAGGAGGTTGTCCATCCCTTAGGAGAGTTCTTTCTGCAGAATCCTCTGGCTATCTGGCATTAATTTTCACCTCTTCTCAGATTTTGATATAATACAGAGCCTCATGCTTAACCAGGACTCTAAACTTTTCCCTGAGGGTTGTTCACCACTGCCGTCTCTATGACTTTTTACATTTTTACCTCCAGTGCTATCAGCTGCCCAGACAATTAGCAATACCTTTTGCTAGATGTAAACAGAAAACCTGACAGCTGGCCTGAGCTTTTATTTGGTCATAAACAAAGCACTTAACCAGCAGTCTGAATGGAGCTTTTTGTTGAGATAGCTGTGGGGAAGGTTTTTCTCAGTGCAAAACCCTTAAAAATGTAGATAATGAGAACTGTGCTTCATAGAAATAAGAATGCTGAAAACTGTGCAAATGTGCAAGGGAGGTTAATGAATACCAGCTTATAAATAGCCCCTCTTTGAGGAGATGATTGCTGTGACTGAACAAAGATTGAGGGAGACAGCTGGAGTGGTGCTGCAGTGTGGGTTAGTGGGGTTAGGGTGCAGGTTATAGCAGTGATAGTTCATTGCTGTTGTGTACAGGACTTGTGCACGGTGGCTCAGTTCTAAATGTGGCTGGTATTATTTTGTTTATTAATATGGCATATTTCAGTTGCACACATTGTTATCAGGATCGAGGCATCTTTCAGGCTTACATCAGAGAACACGTTTCTGAAAACGTGAATGCACAAACCAAGATACTTACCATCTTTTACACCAAGAGATTCACACATCTGGTGGTGCCGTATTTTGTTAGGTACACAAGATGCTGTGATTATTCTGTCTGCGCTTGGGTCTAAAGGGCAAACAGCTCATTCATGACAAAGGTGCAGCTGGTGTGAAGGGACCCAGGTGCCAGATCATCTGTTCTTCAAGGGCAGAGTGTCTGGGTAACTGCTCTCAGCACTGGGAACTGCTGGACACGGAGGTAATGTTGGATAACTGTCCCCTACCACACAGTCATGGAGGTGATGCTGGAAAGGCTGTAAGCACTTGGAGCTGCCTTTCTGGCCTGTGGATGTGCCACATCTGGAATTAGGACATCGTCTTTCATGAGTGACGTGACAAGGGTCTACTGCAATATATGTAACAGAAACAAGTCCTCCTGATCCTTTCTAGGACTCAGGAAGTCCCACCACTGTGCAAGCATTTCTCAGGGTCATGGGTGGGAAAAATGCCAGTAGTTGCTGTAAAGCTGGCATCTGGGTTGCTTTTTATGCCCTGCAGTATTTAAGTTGCTGGTATTTCCTTGGTAACATGGACAGCTAGCATTCAAAGCTAGAATGAGTGGAGAGGCATTAGCCCCACTGAATACAGTGCAAGGTTGCTAGCAACTCTACAGAGTAGAGACTTCTTCCTGAAAAGCATTAGACACACAGATCCCAAAACTGCAGTGGAAACAGTAAGTGTCTGTCCATCATCAGGAAGGATGGCAGCAGGCGAGGATCCCGTGGCTGCCCTGCTGGTATTTAGATGACACCTGCTGGTCAAGTGTCTCCACTTGTCAAGGATATTCTCCATGCACAGAACAAGCCATTCTTGGATGTGCCAAGAATGTATTGGACTTATTGTGCCATCCTGATGGGAAAATGAGCTTCCTGTGAGGAAAGCATATCCCTTATCTTAAACTAACAACTGGAGGTTAAAGCCAATCCACCCAAGAGAAACTCCTTGAAAAGGGCGTCCTCAATTAAATTTTTTTAGCTTGGCTCTGTCTCACAATGTTAATCCCTTGTGTTTGAGTGGAGTGACTTTTTGGTGCATGTTTAATCCATCTCAGGAAATTCAGAATTTCACTGGACAGCGCCATTAGCAGTCTGGTGTCACTTTGGAGTTGCCTCTGCAGTGGTCAGGTGGGTGGCAGCCAGAAGAGTCACTTCCAGCTAATATTATCCTGTAAGTATCACAGCCATACAGTTCAAGCTTGAAAATATTTTCAAGACAGCATTGCTTTCTACTCTTCCAGTTACCCACAGCTTTTTCAAACAGCAGCAGCTTCGGAGGGAGAGATGGGAACAAAATCACACAGCTGCCAGGAAGGTTTCTCGGCGCTCTGTCAGCAAGGAGCGATGGGTGGAGACGCTTGTGGTGGCAGACAGTAAAATGGTTGAATATCATGGAAGTGACCATGTGGAGTCATATATCCTCACTATAATGAATATGGTATGTACAATGTTTTGGGATTTGTAGATAGGCGAATGAAGCAAATCTGAATTTGATTATGCTGCTGATTTTCTAACAGGTCTGCAGAGTTGCTCATGGAGAAAAATGTAGTATCATTAATTATATATGAATTGAAACTCTGTACTCTGTATTTTTAAGTATTTTTACCTTGTATTTTGTATAGGCACAATTTTTCTCTGGATGTATGCAAGATAAGTCTCATAGCTGTAAAAACTAGCACTAGCTTTCTTTCCACTGAAATTCTCTGTTGCTTAGTGGTGATTTCAGATTTTTGGCTATGGCAGAGATAAATTCTACAGGTTTTAAGTATATAAATTCTTTCACATATTAGTGGAAAAGAAAGGTGCACAGGAGCCTGCTGGAAATCATAGTAACTTTGCAAAAGCTCAAACGCCATTTTAGCTTTTCTTAACCAGCTTGTTACTGTTTTGGTCACAAATCCAAACAGCAATATATGACCTGTTATGAAGCAAGTTAACTCTCCCAGTCGAAGCCAATACAGCTGTTTTTCCAGATAAGTATCCTTCTTGGAGTAAAAAGTTTACATTGGAATAAAGAAAAGTTGAACTTCAAATGCTTTCCTGTGTGCAAGTGTCACAATATATAAGTTGATCTGGGAAAAGCCATAGCATCTGCTCATAGATATGCCTTCTGTTATTAATACCTGTTATCAATATTGAACTTGAGAGTACATTGACGATGTGTTCTGTCTGGTTATCATAGAAATGTGCAATATATAGGGAGGTAATTCTAGCCATGGTGACTGATCTGTCCTGTGAGTTTATACAGTATGTTCCCAGCTGTGCCCCAACCAGTGCCCCAGTTTGCTGATGAGGCAATGAACCTGAGTTAAGAGGTACAAAGGTTGTTCGAGCACGTGAGGTTTTGTCCACACAGGGAAAAGTACTTGGAATAAAACTCAGTCATTATCAGATTCAGGAACAAACAAGACTCAATTTTCTTTGCAGTCTGACCTTAAGATATCAGGGTTATTTAAAATATTTCAATTTTCACTAGAGTACCTTGAAAAAGATCCATACACAAATCAGACCTCTGTAAACAGAATTTCTACTTCTTTTTGGTATTTCTCTTTTAGTGGGCTTTTCCATAAGAGTTTTGACCCAAAGGCAATGCATTTTGTTCATTCATATTTCCTGTGATAGATGGCATAGGTCACACATACAGATATGTATAGATAGGTTGTGATTATCTTCTGCTCTGATTCCTTTTCCTCCTCTCTAATTCAACATTTTGATGACGTTAATAACAATTGGGTCACATTTTTCCAGAGTTCTGTTCTTGTTCTTTTTTATGTGGAGTCTTTTGAATGGAGTTGTTATCTTTGATTTCGTACTTATCATCCTCTCCTGTACAGAGGATGAAAACACAAGAGTAGCCATTATTCAGCTAATTTCTGTTTGCCTAATACTGACTAAATTTGCTTTTTTGTGACAGAAGTTTGTTTATTTAAACAGGACGATTTGATATGCTGGTTTATTTGCACCCTGAGTGGACCTCTCCATCAGTGTTTTATGATTGTAGATGTTTTTTCCTTTCTGCTAGTATTTTTTATGAACTCAGAAATTTTTGAAAGCGCAATGGACATAATGTAATCTTGTTTGGGCTTTTGCTCTTTAGCTTAGTAACTTTTTTTAACTTAGTAACTTTTGCCAAAGGCTGTATCATCATTCATTAGGCAGAGTTAGTCTTTGCAGTAGTTCTAATATTTGTTGGATTTCAGTAAACTTTCAATTATTTGAAAATTTTAGAAGCAAAATAGTGTGCTAGAAGTAAATGTATTTTCTCCCTGGAGTTGTGTTCTGCTGTACAGGAATCAGTTAATCTCATATCTCCTGGCTCTGGCACAGGTCACCGGGTTGTTCCACGATCCAAGCATTGGCAATGCAATTCACATTGTGCTGGTCCGGCTCATCCTCTTTGAGGAGGTGGAGGTAAGGTTTTTATTTACCTCAAAATATCACTTACAAAACTTCTGGGTTCAATACATTAAGATGTAATTATATTTGCTTAAAATAATGTTTTAAATTTATTCTATTAAAACCTAAAACATGTCTGGTTTTAGGAGAAATGGTGCCCTGGATAGCAGAGTATTTTAGCTGATTACTTTAGGTATTTCTGCATAAAACTGCATAGGAAACTATAATTAAAACAGCCAGGTTAAGAATGGGGAAATGGAATCTCCCCAGTGTCAGAAGAACATGGGATGACAAAGAAGACCAGATAAGAAACAGAAACTAAATATCAACATTCAGGATTTAATTATTTGTCATTGCCTGAAATGTATTATGAAGTGTAGTCCTATGGTATTTGCATATCTCGGAAGAGGCGATTTTCTTATTGTGCAGTTCAAACATATATTTTTCTTTTAAAATCTCTTTTAAAGCAAGGAAAAATGAGGATGAAGTAGATGTTAATTGCTGTAGCTAGCTATCTATTGATAGCTTCCAGCGTATCTGTCTCACAAATATGTTACTACATGCTTAGATACATGCTGATTATCATAGTTCTATGGTTACTTTTTAAATGCTGTGCACAATATAGTTAGCTCTGACCAGAGGTACACCTTAAAGGGGTTTTCTCAGTGGTTTAGAATTTATAACCACAACCTGGATGGTCCCAGTGCTATTGAAGGCAGTATGCCAAACCTCATGGTTATATCTTCAGAAATATTTAATGGGATAGAGTCTGTCCTTATAGCTCTCAGCATAAGTAGGACAAAAACTTGAGGTTGCACCTAAACAGGACCTGAGATCCATGATGACCTCCAAGGTATTCTAAACTTCTGTGACTGTTTGGATAAAAAAATGTGGATTCCTGTTCAGTTGAGGTAATGGCAATGTTGGAAGTAACAGTGTTAAATACCTTTCAAAATTTTTTTTAAAGTTTCCCAGAAATTACTGTCTGGTAACAGTTAATCCCATACTTTGATGCTTGTTAAAAATGAAGCCATCTGAATCAAGATAAAATTAATGTCTCAGACTAGAAATTAGAAAATTCAATTTTGGATGAATTTATTTTGCATACTTTTTATTTAAGGTTTTCAGTAGTTTGCATGTAAACTGTATAATAATAAGCTGAGGAAGAAACATTTATGACTACATTGTTTCTCTTTGGAATTGAAAAACATGGTGAAAAAATACCTGTTAGAAGCATAATTGTTGTCTGAATATGACAGTGTTCCCATAACATTGAGTGACAAATTTGATCACAAAGTCCTACAATAATTAATCTTCACCTTCTCTTCAGAGGAAAATTATTTCAAGAGAATATAAAATGTTTGAAAGTTTCAATTCAGTGTTGGATCTTATGAAGCTCATTTATCAAAATGTATGTAGAGTTGAGCATTCTGTAATTTTTCCTGTAGCTGCGCCAATTACAGAAATGTCAGCATTTTAATTTAATGTTTGATGTTAGATAAAGAGGTGCCATTGCTCCTAACGATGGCTCTAACTTTAGGCAAAAACATAATTGACTACATTTAGATTACCCATCTTCACAGCTGACGTCACTGAAGTGTTACTGCAATGTACTGTGGTCTTTACAGTAGTATATTCCTTCATTTCCCATTAGCAAGGCTTGAAGATAGTGCACCATGCTGATAAGACATTAGCCAGCTTCTGCAAGTGGCAGAAGAGTGTCAATCCCAAGAGTGATGTCAACCCCACACACCATGATGTGGCTGTCCTTCTTACCAGGTATGGCATCAGTGACTGACTGTTGTTCAGTTGCATTTCTTTGGTAATGATATTTCCTTTATGCTATCTCTTAGTTCATCCTGCACAGAGCTCAGAAATGTGGTTGAAATATTGACAGAGGAGAGAAATGTTGACTACTTATGCAGAGGGGTTAGAGATACATCTTAGTCACAAAATACAGATTTGTGGGTCTCAAGAGGTGAGCAATTTCCACAGCTCGGCCATTCCCCACTTGATCCTATCTCATTTTGTGCTCAGTGACTGCTCTATTCTTCTTTGAGACAATATATCAAAACCAGGTAGTGTGTAGGTGAACAGCTCTTGAAAAAATGTGCAGGTGCAGCTCAGAAAGGAAGAATATTGTGCAAACATGGTGCCATTCATTTTTAAGCTTTTAAGTATATGATTTTTAAATACCTTCATATTTAAGGAGACAGAGTATTTTTTAATGTCTGAGCAAGGAGGAACAGAAAATGTGAAAGTGAGGTTGTCTGAAGTTATGCAGGGAGTTTATGTCATAGTATGGAATGGGACTTTTGGAGGTCTGTAAAAATTTATTGAGTCTGCACATAGGTGGCAGAAGCGATTGAATCTATGGTCTGAAAAAAACAGCCCCCAACTAAAGTTTGTCAGGCAACAAAACCAACCTAAAACACCCCTCAAGTAGCTGAGTAAAAAAAGAATCACAGAATCGTTAGGTTGGAAAAGACCTCCAAGATCATCAAGAGCACCCTTTGACCACCCCACTTTCTCAACCTTTTCTCAGTCAAAAATCTTAAAATAATACTGTGAGATAAAGTCTCTCAATGATGTGAGATTTCACTGTCCAAATACAAAGCACCCAGACAGTTCACTTGAATGAAGCTGAGCTATGGTGACGTTAGTAAAATGTGCTTTAAAATGCTGCCAGACATGGTGGTTCTAAAACTTTGACGTACGGGAGGTGACAATAAGTGTATGTATTTAGGCACTACAGCCACATAAATACTGGCTACAAATTATAGCAGTATAATATAGTAGTAGAACAAGTGCATGTTGTTCCATACATGTTTGTAAAAGACTAACCACTACAATTTACTTATAATGGAAATTATCGCATTATAAGATGGAAACTTGCTACCCAGTGTCAGTGATGCTCCACTGGAGTTGGTTTTAAGCTCTTCAAATGGCACATCTCTTTTGTGATTCTAGAAAGGACATTTGTGCTGGCATGAACCGTCCCTGTGAAACCTTAGGCTTGTCTCACCTGTCAGGCATGTGTCAGCCTCACAGGAGCTGCAACATCAATGAGGACTCGGGCCTCCCCTTGGCTTTCACTGTTGCTCATGAACTTGGACACAGGTACGGTTGATAGGGACGGGGGAACCTGTCTGAGTTGAATTTGTTATTTGCATGTTAATACTCAAATTGTGAGACAGAAGCAAAACAAAAAGTGGGTTAATGTCTCTATTATTAAAATCAAAACTTATTTCAAAGCAAAAAAAAAAAAATTCTTAACCCTTTGATAGGGTTTCACATATCCAACTATTCAGTATATCAAAATTAAATAATTAAGCTACGAAGAAGCATCACTCAATCATGCTAATTTTTCCAACATGTGCTAGATTTCTATGCAATTACTTTGGATAATATTCAGGTTGATCCAAAACACTTACAGAAAACAAACCTGTCTTATTATGTCAAAGTGTTTCAGGAATGCAGATTAGCTAAAACATTTATAACTCATGTAGTGAAACTCATATAGAAAACATACATTAATCTTATAATACATTTAATATTTACCTTTTTTTCTGATGAAACAGTAAAGTCTTTTTAGGGCGTTTCTTAGTAAATGGTATTTTCTGTATAATAATGCTAAGTGGGTACACTTCGGCCCAAGATAAATAAAGTTCTTGGATGTTTAATTTTAGATATGTTTTTTTTTTATGATTGGATATTTTTATTTGAACTAAATTTGTCAGAATTTTAGATTTTCAGAGCTGTTTTGCTTGGTTGGATGGTTTATTAACTCACTTGAAAAATAAAAGGTTTTTGAAACTGTTTTGACACAGCTGTTTTGCTCAGGGCAGAGCATTATCTCATGGATACTCTGGTTTGACTGTAATGCCTGCACTTTTCAACTGGGCTATGCTGCTTGGCTAAGTCACATGTTCATTGCTTTATCTATGATTGCATTAATTTCACTGTGAGCCCAGCCACCAATCAGGATGGAGTCTCTATTTCCTCATAGGATATAATGATGATGATGATGGTAATGACCCTGTCAACCATTAATTGGCCACTATTTATGCAACCTCTCCGTTGCCAGAAAGGAAATTGTATAAATAAGTAACGCTGAAATCACTCCAGTTGGATCTGGGTGCTGTGGGTTTAAGTCTCTTGGTCCCCATAACCTGTTGGCAGGGACCTGTTTTCATTCTCACTAATGATCTGAGGAGACTCCTTCTGCACAGACTGATCCATCTGTGACCTTCTGCTTTCCTAGCCTGGCTGGCTGGTGACTCTGTGTCCTTTGGAGGCTGTGAGGCTCAGTACTGCTGTGCTTGCCCTTGCAGGAGTGGTGCAGGGCCCTTCCTTAAGGACTGTCTCCATAAGGAATGTTGAATACTGTAGGGTTTGTTGTCACCCTGTTAACTTCAAGCCAGGCTAGGTGCACAGGTTGAGAAGTTCAGGTATAGACAAGTTTGTAAAACAGATGAACAAAAAGTAAGAAGACAGACATGCTCCCATACCTTAGATGAATGCCAAAAGTCAGCTCTTCTGCACACTGTCTCTCTAGATGTTTGCAGCCTTAGTATTCCACAGACCCTCTTTGTGGAAAACAGCCTGTCAAAAAGAGAAAATCCTTGCATTTATGCTTCTGACTCATTGCTGGAATTGGTTCTGACTGAAATTAGCTCTGCTTTCAGAACTTTTGAGTCATGATATGATTACATTTTTGAGAAACGTCATCTTAAGTATTTTGAACACACTTTATCTGATTTGTGACTGAATCGTGACCTGAGTGAAGCTCTCAGTGCTCTCAAGACTTACACACCTCCAGATGTTAACAATGTGGATGTCAACATCTTCATATATCAATATCTTTGTATGTTATTTTTTCAGATAATCCTCATTCTGAGGTGGTGAAGAGGCAGGTGTTTTTACTCAGTTGAATAAAATCCAAACTTTTGTGTTTATGACTTCTGCAAGCTGTTGAATAAAAAAAAATTCTCAGCATGTCAGAGATGCTGGAGAGAACCTGCTATGGAGAACTGTTTGCATAGATTGAGAAAATAAATGGGATGACGGTATAGAGCTTGGAGGAAAATTCACTGAACATTCAATAATTTTATAAACAGTATCTCTGGTGCAGTCTATCAAAAGTTTTAAACATTAAAAAAGCAGTAGAGACATAATTATGAGAGATTCTAAGAATGTAACAAAGCCTCATCTTAGTTAAAGTGATGCAATTTTGGGTTCAAGAGTTAGGGAGCAGTCTTAGCTGTTACAACTGTAACTTTTAGGTTTAAACTTTGATTTCTGCCCCAGCTGTGCACTAGTGTTCGGACTCCCTTAAAAGTACAGAAGTATAGTCTGTGGCAGTCTGTTCTTTATTTTGTGTAGGGCAATATTGTTGTGCATAACAGACATGTTTGAAAGCCTGTAGGGGTGCAGGTTTTTCATAGATTTTGGGTTGCATGTTCTGTGTGTACATTTTCTTTTAGCAAACTGATAACTACAGCTCTGCAGGAGAGGAAGCAACCTAGGTGTCTTTTTAAGCAGAGAGTGGAACCTGTAGGTAGGTGTTGCTGTACAGCCAGTCAGCTGGAATTATTAGATGTTGTTTTTTATCTCCAGTTTTGGAATCCAGCACGATGGAAAGGAGAACGACTGTGAGCCTGCTGGAAAGCGCCCGTATATTATGTCCCGACAGTTGCAGTATGATCCTACTCCCCTCACCTGGTCACAGTGCAGCAAGGAGTACATCACACGGTTCCTAGAGTGAGTGGTCAGGCTGTAGCAGTTGCCTAAAATGAGCACAACTGTGCTGGAGTTCAAAGTACATTTTGTATTATTGTACTGATTGTTGTAGGTGTTTTTAGTGTGTTTGAGTTATTTTCCATTGAGGTCATACCACTGCCATGTTGCATAGTTATTTGGGAAAAGCTCTGTCCAGTCTTGTAGTCTGGAAGTGAGCTCAAGTCTTGTCATATTGGCTTGGGTTTGGTGCAGCCTGCAGCTTTTTGCAGTTACCAGGAAGAAAGAAGCCTTTCCAACAAGGGCCCTTATAGAACTTCATAGACTCTGCCTTTGGCCACAGTACCATGTGTTTGGCTTCAGTGACTTGTTCAAATCTGTTCCATTCTTTTTACGACCAGCAATGTGATATAATTTTAGCCGGAGACTGTGGGGTTCTCTGAAGCCACTCTGCAAATTATATTGAGCTCAAGATATTTCCTCTTTGACAAGCTGTATTTTGCCATTTTAAAATCATCTCTTGCTAGACAGAGTGACTACTTTATTTGCAGCATTTCAGCATAACTTGGCTGGAATCTGGAAGTATTATTTACATGGGCCATAATCAAAATTACCCCTAAGAAATAGATACTAAAAGTCTGTGTAGAAACATAAAAAACTGTGGTGGTATAGAGTCCTTTAATATGGAATTTTTGTCTTTAAGTCGTGGGTGGGGATTCTGCCTGGATGACATCCCCCAGAAAGAAGTTCTAAAGTCCCCAGTCATTGCTCCTGGAGTGATTTATGATGTGCACCACCAATGCCAGCTTCAGTATGGTTCCAATGCTACATTCTGTGAAGATGTGGATGTAAGTGCTGAATGTTTTTCTTCATTCTCCTAGTAAGAATTCAAAATTCTTGAGCAGCATGGAAGTGTATTCAGTGCACCTCGTTTACAAATGCAGTGTGTTTAGAGTCTCATAGGCTAGGTGTGCAGTGCAGGCATTGCCTAACACCCTTAATTCTGCATTTTCTGGAAGTGAGTTGTTATGTTGTTTGCCTTGTGGTTCACAAGATCTTTGCTGGATCTCAACACTTACTATGATTAAGTGCCTGTCCTTCTGCAGTGGAGTAATTTTGGTTTTAAACTTGTAATATTAATTCTTAGGTAAATTATTAATGCAGCTTAAGTCCAGTTTTAAAATATTCTTCAACCTTGTGGCTTTCAATTAATCAAACCATTCTGGGAACAAATATTCAGTTCCAGGACAAGTTTTTGGAAGAAATTAGGGTTGTGTTCTCTTTCCATACTTCCTGATTTTTCATATTCTTTATGATCTAACAAACAAAAGAATATTTCAGTCCCTGTGGAAAATATTTATTTTGAAAAACCAATATTTTTGTGTGGAACATTAGATATTTATGCAGAAGTGTATAATTCATAGAGTACCCTGGGGTCTGTCTCACAGCATAGCAAATCAGTATTGTGAGGAGGTGCTAGGGAGCAGTGTAGTCACAGCAGCCCTCACAAGAGCCCTGCAGAGTGTTAGCTAAAGTACAGTGGTATGGTATTTTACTAGAATAATGGTACCTAGAATGTTCAGAGGTCTTTGGGTCTGTACAACATAGTTGAGGCTATCTTGGGCCTTGGGTCTTCAAAGAGGTAAGAGCAGCCGGTTGTAGTGAAGTTGCTTATTGCATGAGTATATTGGTCTCAAAGACAAGCAGTTCAGACTATTAAAGTCCATGCTAAATGCTTTCTGGTGCAAAGTCTCAATGTTTGAACAAAAACAGCAGCAGCTCCCACACCTTTTTTCTTCTTCCTTCTTTCTCACCCCAATACAAGGGATTTTATCCATAAATCATCCAATCAGCTAAAAGCATGATTCTATTTCTCTTAACACCAATCTGAGCTTAATTCTAATGTGCGAAAGTAGTGTCAGTTCTTACCTGAAATCCACATACATAATTGTATCTATTTATGCAAAAGGTACTATCTGTTTTCTTACCCAGAATCTATGTATATAAATGCATCTATTTACATGAGTAGTTCTACCTATTCTATCTAGAAACACAAGCAATGTTCTGCTATGTTTTTGTTATGTCTGGAGCTAAGTTAAACTAGCCTTTAGGGCCTTTTAGTAGCTAATACAGTTTCTTAAGGCACTTGAAATATATTTCTACTTACTTAAAACTAAAACTTACACTTCTGTTTCATGCTGTGTGGCTTAATGTATTTCAGCTTTTCTAGAGGTTCGTATTCAAATCTTGCATTTCTTTTTCTCTCTGAGGGACTCAGAGGCTTCTATTTCATGCACTCCAACACAGGATATTTATACATAGAACTGCTCAGCAACAGTGTTTCCAAGTGCTAGCCTAGCTAAGTGATCACTAATTTTCCTGTGTTTTGCGCAGCAATGTTCAGTAAATGCTGGAGACAGCACCCAGCCTACTGGCCCTGTCAAACACAGATGTATTTAGGCTCTTGGCAGTGCTGGTATGAACACAGTCCTGGACTGGGCACTGCTGATGTTGACTGTTTATTCCATTCAGATAATTGTGTGCATCTCCATCTACCCTTCTCTTAGGAAAATTATTTCTGATTAATCTTTTCAACCTTGATAGATAACATGATTAACGGTGTTGAACTACAGCTGCTGAATCTGAAGAAGGTATTGAAGGATTGCTTTCATTAGGTGCTGTTACAGTTTCCTTAGTTACTGTAATTTGTCTATTGGTACAGATAGACAATTAGGATGTAATTTTGCAGTATTGGCTCAGTGTGTCTCTCCTTGAATTTGAACCTAACATTCACATTTGAACCTAACCTTTACATTCACATCTCCTGATTAACCAATTTTTACAGCTAGACATATGTCAGAAAATTCATTGGTATCCTCTCATTTTGCATTTTACCGACAGGCCTGTATTTTGCTGCTAGTTGCACTTCAGGAGATGGAACTGGGAGCAGTAGAGTCAACCTGGAATGTTGAATCATCAGTCTTTTTGTCATTTTGTCTAAGAGGTCTGACTCTTCTGCCTTTCCTCTATTTACTTAGCCTTTCTCACTGACAAGCTGCTTTTGTTTTGTGCATTTTAATGTCTGACTGAATTTGATCCACAGATCCTTTTTGAGAGAACAATCTTCATTTAGCTGAAGATGCCCTGGGGTTCAGTGATTACACTTAGCAAAACCTAATATTTATAATTTAGATAGGGGTTTCATTATGCGCTTAGGCAGTAAAGTGTCCTGTGAAGTATATAAATATCATCCGTCTAATAAGGCAAAGAAAAGCAAAAATTTATTAGATGGAGGAATTTTCCAAGTCATAGCTAGACCCATAGCTTCCTATAGAACAGCCTGTAGGATATCAGAATGCTCATCTTACTGCCTTTTTCTCCGAAACTTCCATTGGCTTTTGTGAAACTGACTTTTTTTTTGATTCAACTTTCTTCAATGCACAGACCCTATTCTCATAGACTGGGGGGAAAGTGTATATCATACTGTTGATGAAAAGAAAACCCACTTGCTTTGCACTGAGTCCATAACAGAGTCGCGAATTTCTGTGTGTTACCTCCAAAGGCATGAAGTACATGGTGTATCCTCTCATATTGTTGTTTCTCATATTGTAGTCCATCTCCTCTGCTGTTGTTTCAGTATTCTGGGACATGGAGATAAATATGGAAAAATCCTTGCGAAGCTAAAGAATTCCCTTTGTGAATTCTTGACTTTAAATCTATGCGTGCACATAATAATAAAAGTAACTACTGATGAAAAGCTGTGTTCATTTTCTATGCCAGTTTCTCTGATGTTGTCTGAGGCATGGTGCAAGAGTACACTTTAGACACTAAAGCCACAAAATATACTCTGTCTACAAGAGTTAAAATAAAGGATTACTTTGATAATGAGAGAAAATTCATCAGCCAGAACACTTGGGTAGCTCTGCCTTAAGAACCTGGTAATGATGGCTTCAAAAGGCCTTCACAAAGAATGCTACCCTTGAACTATAAACAGGGAACTGCAAAACAAAGTTTGTCTTCTGTACATTGCCCAAAAACAGTGAACTAAGATGCAGCAGCCCAGACATTGTATTCCAGCTGGAAGGCTGAAGTGCTTTGAGATGTTCCATGCCATCAGCTTTCTTCTGGTGCTCTTGTTGACAAACCAAAGTAAACACACAATGGAGAAGGTAAATGAAAGTGAACTCTCTCAAATCTTGCGCCCAAGCTTAGCCATTTTAAACAGAAGCAGGTCAGAAATGGGCAGCCAGACTCTGCATTTCCCACTTGGATGAGCTACTGGCTCGTTGGGGCTGCATTTTTGGAAGTGTGCAGTTTATAACTTCCAAATCTTAAAAAAAGGGCAAGTGTAGGGTCCTGCTGGGGAGGATATGTGGCTTGCTCTGAGAATTCCAGTGGGAGCTGCTAGTGGGATCCTTCTTATCAACTCTTTTTTCTGATGGCACTTGGAGCTGTCCCTTCTTCACAGGTTGATGCTACCAGCTCTGTTCTCTTTTCGAGAACTGGACTATGGCATCCAAACACCGTGAGTCAGGATCTAGGCTTTAGCTTCTGCTGTTCCTGCTGGCACTGTGCAGTCCCTCTGAGAGCCCTGCTTTCTCTACTTTGGAAGTGGTATTTCATGCAAAGCCCTGATCAGTCAGGAGTTCTAAGCATGCAGGGCTCCTGCATGGCAAACAAAGAAAAACTGGTGTGCATGTGAACTAAAGAGGGAGAAATGGCCCTCCAACTCTGTCCTCCCTTTCTAGAGGATAGTTCTGATTGAGTGAAGTGGGTTTGGTAAAAGGTAGCTGGAATGTTTCTTGCCCTGCTTTCTTTGTTGTATCTCAGGAGTTTCTGTCTGTTCTGGGGAGTTAAGCCACTGTACATAGAGAAGCATCTGGAATGCAGTGTTTTATTGACAACCTACTGTATTAAACGGGCACCAGTTTCTGAGTTACTTAAAATGCAAACATTCGCTCACCAGAGCCTTAGCTCTTCCCAGCCCACTATGTTTTTTTTCTCCGCCAACTAGCTGACTGCTTTTTTTTCCAGCTAATTTCCTTGCCATCTGCCAAGCTGATGTTTTAAGCCTCATCACTTCCTCATCTAGTTTTGGTACCTCCATTAATATTGTTGGAGACATGATGTTTTCTGTATTTGCCTGCCTGGCTTCTGTAACCTCCTTTGATGTCACTGTATGTTTTCAGGCAGACAGCAATGCAGAATTGAAGATGATATTGGTTAGTACTCTTCAAATGAAAATAGTTCAATTTTCTGTTCACCTTATCTGCAAACAGCAGTGACCAAAGTTTATTAAGTCATTTTTCTTGTGTTTATCTAGGAGTTGAGCAGCCAATTAGGAGAATATTTGAAGTCACATAGGGCAGGGAATTCACTTGAATTTTTTTATTTTTCAGATAGTCGCTTTTTGCACAGTAATGACAAGTATATAAGTTTGGACCCTTGATAGTTCCTATCTTGTGAAAAACCCTGACTCCTCTGGAAATACAACCCTTACAAGGCTTTTTAAGTGGCTGTACAAAACTCTGGGAGGCTTTTGAAAATCTTGGCCAAAGGAGTTCTCCCTCAGACTGCTGTAGTTTTCTTTCTTTTTCAGAACCTTTGCCAGACCCTCTGGTGCTCAGTGAAAGGCTCCTGCCGCTCCAAATTGGATGCAGCTGCGGATGGCACTCGATGTGGAGAAAACAAGGTGAGCCACACTGTTGGCAAGCTGTGCTGCCTGCCAAAGAACAGAGAGGAGCGATGAATAGCTCTGCCATTGTTGAGTGTGAAGGAGGGTCATCCTGTGTCATCTCCATTTACATTTCCACTTAAGTGTTCTACCTTCATGAGCTGAAATAACAAATAATTCCCAGAAACTCAAAAAAATTCTAATTTCCCTGTGATAATGATTTGAAGCTCTTTGGGCTTTCTCTTCTCTCCTTAGTGGTGCTTCTCTGGTGAGTGCATTACAGTGGGGAAGACTCCCGAAGCAATCCATGGCGAGTGGGGTGCTTGGTCATCCTGGTCCCATTGCACAATGACATGTGGAGCAGGAGTTCAAAGCGCAGAGAGGCTGTGTGATAATCCAGAGTAAGCTGAGTCCACTAACTTTCCCTACTTTTTGTTTAAGATTTTTGAGGTTCTGATGATATGGGAAACTCTCTTGTATGAAACTGATGTCAGCAGGTGCCACATCAATACGTCACAGATACTGACACCTCTCTTCCCAATTAGGCATACCTGTGTGAAATTCAGCTGGCTCGTCTTTTACAGTCATCTTGTTCTGTATTTCTTACTTTCCATAGAGCTTATTTCAATGCAAAGTGAATAAAAAAAACATACTTAACATTTAGGCTTTGCAGAAATAGTGTAAATATTGTTTTATTAATACTGCAATGAGTAAATAAATGTCCTCACACACCAGGTGAGAACAGTTTCTAGCAACCTGATCCTGAGGACTTACCTTTCATGTTTTCTTGTAGTCATCAGCTTTGTTTGAGCTTCAGACACATGAGTTGTCAGGTACAGAACATGAAAGGCAGAATTGCTCACTACATATCAGAGTTCATGGAGACTCTTCACCTCATTTTCACAAATCACTAATAGCAGGAATAATTCGTCTTTTCAGAGAGAACTGTCAAATGCACTGCAAAGCATGGGATTTAAAGCAGTCCATTTGATAGGTTAATTTGTTATGAGCTCAGACTGGTATTGCCAAGCACTTTTTTGGGATACATGAGTTGTCTAGATTTCTGTGCTTCACGCTGACATTTGAGTACTCAAACATGTGATATGAACAGTATCTCTACCCTGTCTAGGATTCAGAGTCACCTTGTTGTGTTACTGGGGCCTGAAATATGTTGTTGGTATAAAAGTATTTTTTTTTAACCCATGGTCTCATGTCCCAGTCTCAATGTTCCTTTTCTAGACCCCAGTTTGGAGGAGACTACTGCACTGGAGAGAGGAAGCGCTATCGCATGTGCAACATCAGCCCCTGTCACAAAGACGTGCCAACCTTCCGTCAGATGCAGTGCAGTGAATTTGATACAGTTCCCTACCAGAACGAATTCTACCACTGGGTTCCCGTTTATAACACAGGTAGGAAGCTACAAATTTTTTTAATGTCCTGTATAAAAAGTCAAAGTTGCATGCCTATGAGAAACGTCTATGAGGGTGAGAAGTCACTGAATTACATGTTTTCTAATGAATTAGAGACAAAGATCTGGTGTGTCTCTGTATGCTGTTGTGCCTTTTGTGTGAACATAAAGGCCATGGTTCTTCTCTACACTTAGATATTTTTTCAGAGCTCTGGTGATAATGGCTGTGATTGTAACTAGTTCAGTTCCTGTAAAGATACCGCACTAAGAAAAGCTGTTGAACTTGTGTCTGTACTATTTTTTTAGAATAGATTTAAACCATCTTTTCCAGTGTCAACCACAGAGCCAGAGGCAGAATGGTGTGGTGGAGAGCTGCATCTTTGGTCCTGCAGGCATCACTGCACCCAGTAACCACAGCTCTTCCACTGCACAAATGTAATTTTATTACTTCCAAACTCAGATCTGAATGGTAGGTGTACTTGATGTTACAGTGTAGAAGTAATACCTGAACTGGGTCAGTGTTGTTCTGCCTTGTATTGTAGAGGCAGAGTCAATGACTCTGCTTTATAACTTGCTTTGGAGCAGCTAGTTATTAAATACAAGGGCAATCATTATTAGTATGCAGTTTGAGTCTTGGGTTGTGCATAAATGTAAAGTGTAGATTATCCAATAGAACCACAAAATTGTTAGGGTTGAAAGGAATCTCTGGATTTCTTCCTGCAGTCCTTCGGGAACAGGCTGGAATCATCTTTGTGGCCTCTACTGGACCCTCTCCAGTAGCTCCTTGCTTTTCTTGTACTGAGGAACTCAGAACTGCCAAACTCTTTCTGATGGACCCCAGGAGCCCATTGGCCCTCCTGGCTGCCAGGGAACACTGTCGGCTCATGGGCAACCTGTCACCCACCAAAACTCCCAGGTCCTTCTCAGCAGAGCTGCTCTCCAGTAGGTCAGACCCCAGTCTGTGCTTGAGGTTATTTCTCCCCAGCAGGACCCTACACTTGCCCTTTTTTTAAGTTTGTCCCTGGCCAACTCTCCCCCCCTTTCAAGGTCCCACTGAAGGCAGCAAAGCCTTCAGGTGGATCAGCCACTCCCCACAGTTCCATAGCAGTAGCAAACTTGGTAGCAGTGTGTTTTTTAATGAGAAAATAAGACAGGATAGAGAAGATCAGGATTAAACTTGCAGTTTCATTTGCCTGTAATATTTTTTTCAGCATGTTAATTGTTTTTTCAGTTATTGGCAGTTCTGAATTGGTTTCCTAAATTTCAGCTACTGTTTCCATTTCATGTAACAAATACACCATTGAAGATTAATCTAGAGCAGGCAGACTTCAAGTAAAATTTCTGATGAAAAAAAATATGGCTGATAGAGATTTTTTTTTTAAGAAATCCAGAAAAGCCATGACAAATGCTAACAACCTAACATTTATGCCAAAACCAAACCCAAAAATATTTTCTGCAGTCACCTATCATTGAAATTAGGATTCCAGACCTCTGTTACTCAGGGCGTGCTACTGCAGGGTACACCATTCATTCTGTTCATATCCTGTCTGTGGCACTGCAACAGAGCAGGTAGTTCTGCATGTGCATTTCTTACAGAAGGTCTGTTTTTAAAGGACTTTGAGAATCATGAGTCAAATGCTTACTGCACACTGGAAGGCAGAGCTGTGCTCTGTCCATGCTATATTTCAAATAGAACTGTTCAGAACTGTACAGACAAACCAGCTCTATGTAAAACGCTGTGCTGCTAAGCCTGACATATTTCATCTGGAAAATCATTTGCAAAATCCTTCAAATATCAAGGAGGTAATTTTTGTCTGTGGCTTGAAAACTTGACTGTTTTCCCCCATTTTCTCAGCAGCCAGAATTTCAGCATAGATTTCTGTGTCTTTCCCATTACCTTGGAGGCCCTTAATGTTTTCACATTTGACAATATTTAAAGTGTTTTCTTGCTGCTAAACTCTTAACCTAAAGTAAAACTGGCTTCCTCAGATAGACAGGCTCTCCTGGTAACACTCAAATAAGCAGGGAGCTGCCCAAATCCTGTGCTGATTCTTCATCTGACATCATTGTATGACTGAGGGTGGGTGGCTCTCATGTGCACACTGATTCCAGTTTTGTCCAGACAGTATTACCTGAAATACATCTGAGAGTTTTCCTTCCATCTCAGTTTCAAATATTTTTTCACCTCCTATCAGTGGCTAACGATATCCTGGGAAAAATACCTGCAGATAAGGTCATGAAACAGTGCTGTCTCTGAGAAACACAGCAGTTTGAGCCTTCCTTGCATGTGTGTGTCCAAACAAACAGAAACTTTAAACAAAAACAAACCAACAGCCTTTTTAAACCCCCCACAAAAATGAACTGATGTTTCAGGTCTCTGGAGACTTACTCACAATGTCCTCCATATATACACCAACCTTTGTCAGCTCCCTTACTTTCTCTCTTAACTTGTACAATCCAGTTTCAAGGATTTTTCACAGCATGCTGTTACCATGTTGTCTTGCTTCCAAGAAGTCTTTGTCTTTTGTAGTGGTTTAATCCTGTCTGGCCACCAGGCATCCACCAAAGCTACCTTGTTGTTCCCTTCTTCAGCTGGATAGGGAAGAGAGAATGTAGCAAAAGGCTTGTGAGTTGAGATAAGGGCAGGGAGAGATCACTCACTGGTTACCATAGTAGGCAAGCCAGACTGGGCTTGGGGAAATGCGTTTGATTTTTTAGAAACTAAATCAGAGTAGAATAGTCATGAGAGACAGTATTCCTTTAACCTCTCCTACAAAAGTCCTTCCCTGCAGTTCTTCCTGAACTGCTCCTGCACAGATCCTTTCCACAGTCCTGCAGTCCTTCAGGAACAGGCTGTTTCAGCATGGATCCCTGGTGCATGGTGCTGCCAGGACCCTGCTCCAGCACGGGCTTCCCATGGGGTCACAGCCCCCTTAGGCACACCCACCTGCTCTGGTGTGGCTCCTCCAGGGGCTGCAGGTGGATCTCTGCTCCCCCTGCCCCTCCCTGTGCTGCAGGGGCAGAGCTGCCTCACCAAGGGCTGCACCAGGGGCTGCAGGGGAATCTCTGCTCTGGCTCCTGGAGCAGCTGCTGCCCCTCCTCCTTCACTGACCCTGTGTCTGCAGAGCTGTTCTTCTTACATGTTTGTATCCTCTCTTCCAGCTGCAGTTTTGCAGATTTTTTTCTCGCCTTCTTAAATACATAATCCCAGAGGTGCTGCCACTGTCACTGGTGGTTTGGTCGTTACAAGGTCCTTCTTGGATCTGTCTGATGTGGGCTCTGTCAGTCATGGGGGAAGCTTCTAGCAGCTTCTCATAGAGTACTGTGACAGCTTCAGCTGGTTTGAAGCTGCACAGATAAAATTGGCCACAACAGAAACTAATTTGGCTATCTTAGTTCATTAAAGAGTAGAAGTAAACAAGCCCCTAGGTAAGACAGTGATAAGTTGGTTTTGAATTCAAACAGGGGACCTCTGCCAGTCCCAGTCAATCCTGAATGCAGGCATATCTTTGGCCAGTGAGCTGGACAGTGTTGAAACCTTGAACTGTTGGTTGTTCAAGCACAGGAATTTTGAACTCCCTATAGAAGGGAGCGTCCCTCAATGAGCTTTGTCTGTTGTCGCATGACCTTCAGTGTGTTCAGTTGTGTGCCTGTCACCAAAAATGCGACCGAATGTGGGGACCTCTGATGTGACACAACAGCTTCTGCTACCCTTGTAGACACCTGCTACCAAAGCCTGGCCACACAAATCCACTACGGCTCTTGTTTTAGTATCAGGCATTTTGGATCCTCTCATACTGCACTTGGGGTATAAAGGGGAAAGGAAAAGTCATTAAGCTTTCCCAAGCCCTGAGTGCACATACAGTTTTTATGTGGAAGTGTCTAGCGGAGGAAATGAATTCCTGAGCCAGATATTCTGTGACATTTTAGACATTCTCTGTTCCTTCATCCCACTGGGAAAAAAAAAAAAAAAGAGTAGATTTCGTGGATGGTCACAGTTCTCCCTCCTCTCTCTGTCTTTAATTTCATAGCTTGAGTTATAGCAAATGTCACATACCTAATAAAGAGTCATTTATGTTGTGTAAATTGTAACTTCACAAGATAAAAAAGACATTTTTGAATAGCTTATGATTTAATAAAAAAGCCAGCTTTAACAAGCAGTCTCACAGAAAAGCAGTAAGTTACATCTTGCTGTTTCCTGTTGTTTGAGGTTTCAGTTGAGAATTTTCTGGTTCAAATGACTTCATGCCCATTGGGGAACTTGCGTAGTCCTGTTACAGACTTCAGAAACCCATGTGTTCAAGCTGCATCATCAGAGTACCCCTGGGAATCTTAAAATTATGGAAACCTCCATGTCCAAGGGTAATAAACTATCCAGCAGCCTAAGCAGGATATTTTCTGAATTTTTCTCATGACCCAGGCCCCTGTTTTGACACTTTGGGCAGACTTCAGTATGTATCCACTTCTCTTTCCATCAAACTGACCCTATGTTTATTTATTTCCATACCATTTGACAAATTCCATTTGTATGAGTCTGATAGCTTCTCAGGGCTTAACTTCCATCTATAAGTCCTACATTAAATCATGTAATTACTTTTATTTTCTGTGTCAGTGACAGGATCATTTAGTGTATGGTCAGATAGGGGTTGTGTTAAAAATATCTTAAATTTCATATTTCTTCCAGAATATTTCTGTATATCAAATTAGATATGTTCGGATACAGTCACAGGGGCAGAGCTAACAGGATGAAATGTTCCTGTTTCAAAATCCAACTTTGTTTTGGAATTCCAGGTTTGGTTAAAGTAATAAGTAGCTTCATCTCAGATTTTTTTCCCCATTTTGTCTGTTTGGTAATTGCCTTTTCTAATTTTATTTGTCTGGGATTTCCTTAGTCAGTTCTGAGTTCTCACAGAGATGAGGGGTTGAAGATAAGAGGCTTACCTCTTTTCTTCCTTGTGAAGTTGGGAAAGATACTGAAGTCTTATCTTCTTCTGACAGACACATTAATCACATCCTTCTTAGTCACGTTAAGCTGGATCCCTCCTGCATGTGAATTCATGGGAATCAGCTGTAAGGTAAACAAATTTAAACTGGGAAGGAAATACGTTCCTTTCTACTTATCTTCATGTTGTTCTGTTAACACTTGGTGAATCTGAACTTTTTAATAAAATACAGAGGGGGGAAATATCACATGCCCAAATTTCAGGACTTTTACTCAGCTTACTGAAGATTTGCTTCTTCAGTCTCATTCTAATTACAGATAAGTCACTGAGCCCTTAAGGGAGCTCTGTGGATTTGGATTCCATTACATCTTCTATATATTAGGGAATTGATCATGTCTCTGGTCAAATCAGCAGCAGGTGTAAGATGTGGACACCACGTTAAAAAACAGCTTGTAATTTTTCTGGGCTGCTGAGTATTGATGGCACTTCAGCTAAAATCTTATATCCAGCTAGGAGCAAAGCACTGGGAGAGGGATGCAGCCAGGACTGAAGAAGGTTGACAGGAGAGCAGCATGGAAGTCAGAAAGTCACTGAGAGTTAGTTTTTATGAGGGTTGGTAGAGATAGGACATAGGGAATAGCTTTAAACTGATAGAGGGCAGGTTTAGATTAGATACAAGGAAGAAAAATCTTTACAGTGAGGGTGGTGAGGCACTGGCAAAGGCTGCCCCATCCATGGAATAGATGTTACTGCCCTTGGCAGGGGGGTTGGATAATCCTTAAGATTTCTTCCAGTCCAAATCATTCTGTGATTTGAAGAACACAGATTGAGCAAAGCAAGTTTTGCTTTAGAAGGGAAAACAAGGAGTGAGTTACATGCCATCTACTCAGTGGAACATTTAAGTAGTGTTTAGCATGTGTACCCCAGAGCTGGTAGAGATACATGGTCACTACTGAATGCTCACAGATTGGATCTAGTATTTCATGCATATGCTGGGTTGCAGGAATTTATGTATATTTTGGCCTAAAAGTTACAAAGATGACAGCCTTTTTGTTAAAATATCATAATGATGTCATAGAATTTGCTGAAGTAACTGAAACTGAACCAGCTACTTTAATGAGCTCCTTCTGAACAACCCAAGTGCTCCTATTAATCTGAGTTTAATATTTTTAGATTTTTGGGTCTGAAGTAAGAAAAAAGGTGGAACTCAATGCAAGCCTTCCATTTCAGGAAACGTATTTGTTTTCCTTGTGTATGAATTTGTTATCTATTCTGTGTTTAAAATGTGAGGTATCTGTTCTGTGTAAATATTAAAATATTATTTTGGAGGTCATTGGCTGATTCTGATGCAGTTTATTTACAGTCCTAGAAAAATAGAGCCAAGGTCCCTGAGCTCAACAGTAGTAAATAATGATGATAGGTAGATAAAGAAATAATTTTAGATAGTGAATTCCAAATACAGTGCTAGTACAATTTCCTCAGTAGTGGCCTAACCAGCCTTTCTGCAGATGAAAAAGCGAATAAATATCAGATAGAATTGAGTATTCGGTGAAGAAATAAATATCCTACAATTTCCAGAGGGGCTTCATAAAAAACATAAAGAATGAAAAACAGTAAAAAACTATAGGTTGGATCTAATTTTAGATCAGTTAACACAATCAGGAAAAGCAGGAAGGGCTTCATACATAGAAAGCATTTTTAAGTATTAAAGTCTGTATGGTTGTTTTTTTTTTTTTTTACATTTTATTTTGACTTAGTAAGGGAGTTATTTTTCTTTAAAAACTGACTCCGATTTACAGATTTACAGCATCATAGTTATGGCAGAAACATGTCAGCACTGTCTGCTTCTTCTTGTTTGGTGATTTCTGAAATGAAATTGCTTGTTTTGTCAACACACAGCTATGAGGAACTACAGATATCAAATTTCTGTTTGACATATTTCTTTAGAAACAATGCAAAAGCTGAAATGGCTTTTTGTAAAATCTGTCTATCTGAGCAGGTAACAGAGTACCTAGAATTGCATGATTCTCCATGCCATAAACGTATTGTGCTTTGTATAGAAAAGTGCTACAATGAGAAAATAGGCAATGTGAAGCAAAATTTAGAGCACTAAAGTAATCACTTTAATCACACTGCCATAAAAAGAATTCTGCAGACAGAATTAAAATCACTTGTATCACTTACCATGACACCTCTTATCAAAGCAACTGGTGGGTGTTATGGCTGCAGCTTTCATAGAGGGGCTGAGAGTTGGTGATGACTGCAGACTTTATAATCTTGCCTGAAAAACTTTTTTAGCTCCACATCCACTGATATTATTGAGCACAATTCACATCAGCTGGAATTCCACCAGTTGTATAACCATGGTCGGTCCATGCATGTGCTCTGGGTCTCATCACTGTTGCACTTTGCGAAGGTATTTTTGTTTGAGAAGCCAGAAGCTCATGTTGGTGATAGACCTAAGATGTCATTTTAGCTCTACTGACAAGAGGGGGGAAAAAATCCTTCATTAAGGTTTTGAATTTCCTTTACTGTTCTGTTTTTTTTTTTAATTTGTTTTTGTTCCCAGTTCTGCAGTATTCTGTTTACACAAATGAGATTCACAGTACCAGGCTTTGCAACATTCAGTTCTTAATCTGCAAGAAGTCTGAGGGGAAGAGTTGCACCTTTGTGCACTCTGTGGTGTTGTGTGAATGTTTGTGCTGTACAAACCAGAGTAATGAGAGCAAATTTTCCTCCTTCAAAAGGATAAATCCTTTTGTTGGAAATTAATTAGTTTATTTGCATTATTCATAGGATTGCATTACTTTCATTACCAAAAACTTCTTTAAACACAGTCTTTTCTATGGCACAGACAAAATGGAGGAAAAGATAAAAATAAATTCATCAACCAGGATGTGGAAGGCTTATGGTTACCCTGCATCCCTCTGAGACCAAGGAAGCAGCTTCTGTCAACTCTGTCAGGCACAGGATAAAACTCACTCAGCGTTAGCACCTCTGCAGCATGAAGGGAGATAGTTTTAAAATTATTAAATAATGGTGCCTTGAAGTCACTACTGACTGGTGGGTTTAAGGCCCACTGCTTTTCTCAGCAAAGCATTTCAGGTTGCTGAGCATGAACAAATGACTTCAGTGCTGGGCGAGACTGGGGTCTTTAAATAGACCAAAACCCAAAGATAATTCTTGTGTTGATGTCCTTTGTTAATATGATAGTGGATGATTTTTAACTCAGGAAGATAGTTCTGGTTCTGCTGCAGAGTTTTCAGAGAGTGTTACAAAGGCAGGGATTATGTCAGTCCTTGCTTTGACCCTAATTTCAGCTCTAACTCATCTTCCATGCACAATTTATTTATCAGACCTGTGTCCTTTTTCTCTCTGATGTCTCAGTTTCAAGATTTCCTATTCACAAAGGCCATTGTCTGTGAGACAGGGAGGTTGGTGTTTGGCTGTTCTTACTCCATAGATGGAATAGATTAAGGCCGTGATCCATCACAGAAAATCTTGTTTCAGAGGCTTTTCTCTTCCCTGTTGCATCTGTGGGACATCTGTCTGAAAATAGCCTGAGTCTGCCACACTTGCAATATTATCTCTGTTTCATAAGTTGTCAAGCAGAAAGAAAAAGTTTGAAATTATTTTTTAAGTGCCAACAGGTAGATGAAAATGATGAATGACACATAAGATCAGAAACAGGCATCTGGCTGCTGTCTGAGAGAGACTGACAGCAGTGATGAAAAGTTTAAATTACCTCTGAAATTACTCAGTAACCAGCTGATGGAAAACTTTCTTGTCAGTGTAATCCCACCCTTCTCTAGTGACAGCTGGATTTGCTGGTTTCCCATCCATTTCTCTGTCACAGCTGATGGCCTTGTTGCAGCCTCACTCAGCAGTGGCTGCTGACGTACCAGCGACAGAGAGCACGCAGGTGTGAGGAACCATCCTCCAGCTGCTTCCCACAAATCCACAGATTATGTTTCTCAGGACTATGCCGCCCTGGCTTTGCTCAACTCTTCTAATTCTGCCAGTTCTGGCAAATGGCAGGTAAAATGAGCAAATGGTTCAGCAAAGATCCTGTGCATTGCACTTCAGAGTCCTTCTGGTGTGTTGTCTGAATGAGTGTTCTTGTTTTCCTTTCAGCAAACCCCTGTGAGCTCCACTGCCGCCCGGCAGATGGCCATTTTTCAGAGAAGATGCTTGATGCAGTCACTGATGGCACTCCTTGCTTTGAAGGAAGGCACAGCCGGGATATCTGTATTAATGGCATGTGTAAGGTATTGGGTATGTTTGCATGTTTCTTTCTCTACAATTTAATTTGGAAAAGTTATGGGAAAATGCTTAACCATTTTTTTTGGTAGGATCAAGGCCAAGTACTCAATTTTATCACATTTTTATAGCAAGTTTATAGCAAATGCTTTCCAAGTAGACATAAGAGTAATTTCCACCATTTTTAATGAGTCTGACTGACTGCTGATTACTTTTGTTGCCTTTTAAGTCCTCTGTTGAGTCCCCAGTATTTTAAAACATCAGTTCAAGAAAATCTGTTTCTGATTACAAGTTTTCACAAAGTATTACAGCTTTAGGTTTGTAACTGGTGTCACCACTGTCTGTGGGGTTTTTTATGAAAATGTGATTTAATCATATATGTGTAGCTGTTCTGAGCTTTATATATGTGTATGTACATATATGTGTAGCTTTAATATAATCAAACTCTGCAGTTGAGAGCAATAAAAATTATTTTCGTTTACAACATTGAACTTAATAGTGTTATACAATGAGATAATTGGCAAATACAGGTTATATGGCTCAATATTATTGTGCATTGAAGAATAAGTATCATGGTCTCTGCATATTTTATGTGTTGGTAGCAGATTTCCAGGATGATGTGTTTGTCTGTATGGCATTTGAAGGAGTGCTCTGTAAATTCTATAACCTCCACAATCCTTTTAGTCACTTCCTTATAAATAAAGTGAGTACTTTTCTTGTAGGGGATATATTTACACCTGTGGTTTATTTCTTCAAATTGAGGGTTTGTCCTGTACATCCGTGAAGCCTAATAGCTTTTTTGACTTTAGCATCTTTGGAAACAAAAGCAGGACTTGGTGACTTGTGGAAACTAAATTAGCTTATCCAGTATGGAAATTGTAGCCACTTAATTGTATAACAATGCAAGCTTAAGGGACTTCAAGAAGTTGTCTGTTTCATCCCTTTACAAATTATATTCCTTTTTTTGTCATTTTTCACATTCTTTTCTGAAAGACTTCTAGTGATGGAAACTTCACATTTTTAATACAGAGGGTGTTTGGTACATACCTTTTAAACTTTTTAAACCCTATGAAACATTTTAAAAGAAGTTTAAAACCCTTTTTAAACTTCTTATTTTATTAAAATGACAGTGCCTCAGAGACCAGTAGTAAAAGATGTGTTTTAAACTTTCCTTGCAACACTTGAATTTTGAAAGGCAGTTATCAAGACCCTGCTCAAGTTCACAGTGTAGAGATCCTGCTTAACTTTGCTGAGAGCCAGGATGGGCCTTTGAACTATGATGGCTTTGAACAGTTCAAGCCAGAATGAATCATATCGTTAGCATATTGAAACATATAATAGATGTTGCATACCATAGCAGTACTTTTGACCTTCACTTGGAAGAGACTAATTACCAAATTCAGAAAGGCTGTCCTTGTGAAACATTCGTTTTCTGATTTCCAGCCCAGCTGGACTGGGATCACTATGATTAATTTTAGTTTCCATATGCTTTCTGTATTGAAACCTTGCCTGTGGCAGTTCAGATTTATACCTCTTTTAGTGATAGCAAGACTCAGTTAATCCAAATTGGGAGATCAAAGTTGGAAGAGAAGCTAATCTAATTGCAGTTTGTAGGGCCCAGATACACTTCAGCATTAACAGTTCTGTGGACCCAAAGTTTTTGAAAAATTCCCTCCAAGGTGCTGTCAGCGTTATACATGGTGACAGCTGCTCCACATCTCCTGGCAAACAGATTAATTTGGAGTCAGGATCACAGAATGAACAATATAGCCATGCAAAATGAGACCAAATTATGAATAGGTAACCCAAATAGCTCACAGTATTGAAAGATAGCATGCTTTCATCTGAAATAGGTACCCAGCACAATATCTGAGGAGAAGCTTTTTCATATATCTTCATCTAATTTACTAGTATTTGAGTCCAGCTAGCTAAACACAATAGATACATTACAAGTCCTGGAGAATAAATCTGGAAATGCTTTTAATATAATTAGTCTGGCACATCATTGTCGTCATTTGATTGCAACATGTTGCTAATGATATGGAAAAGACATTCACAAGTATTAAAACGCTGTTCTGGTTTTCAGAACTGTATCTCACAAGGGCACTTTACATTTGTCCTGAGTACGAAAATAACACTTCACTTTGGTCTGAAATTGAGAAAAATAATTAAATTAGTAAGATATTAGATCCACTGTCTAAATTGCTCACATGTGATTGGCATGTAGAGTAGCTATTTTTTATCAAGTAAGTTCTGAGTTTTCCTACTGGGTATGTCAAAATAAGATAGATAGAGCAAATAAAGAATTTCATCTTCTAAATTCATCTGATTTTAATCTGATTTTGTCATGAGTTTGTTCAGAACAATCAGAGAAACTGGTCTTTCTTTGATGGGTAAATGTGGATTGAGATGCTTCATTTTAGCTGCTGAGGTATACTGGATGCTTTCCAAGCTGGCCTGACAAAGCCACAATGTGCATCTTCAAGTGAGAAGTAGGTACAGACTTTACTTGGTCCTTTTAATTTATCTAGTATCTCCTAATTTTTTGGAAGTGCTGCCTGTGCATCAGTGCTTGAGGAAGGCTTACAGTGGTGTATTGTTTGCATGGTATTCCTTTAGAACTTGTCAATTCAAAGACAAGCGAAAGTTGTTAACTCATTTGAAGGCCTGGCCTATAAAATAGCTGGGTCCTCTCTCAACACTGTCCTTACACAGAAGAATTCTGTCAGGAAATATGACAAGATCTGTCAGTAACTTAATCTCAAATCATCGAGCTATACTATGAGTAGGGTTTTTTTTACTGTATGCCTTAGCACTCATTTTTCAGTTGTTGTTTTCCCCTTTTATTTGGGAGATCTTTACAGCATATAGCCTATATTCCTGTGCTTAAATTATACATCACAACTACGCTCTTAATTCTTACTAGATGAGTCAGTTTTTCCCCCAGTGTTAATGAATGAAGATACTGCCACCAGAGTATGGTTGTTTAGCACTGATAATTAGGATTTTTGATTAAGTACAAGCCATCACATCATCTAAAAGTGAAGGCTTACATGTTCATTGCACTGGAGTGTGCAGTTGCTGAGGGTGGAGGATCTGGCATCTCTGATGTTTCTACCAGGCATTCATCTCCTGCACAGAATTTTGATAGGCCTAAGCGACCTTCAGTCATGCAAATCTGTAGTAATTCACAGTTGTGATTTTGGGAGATTGATATTGTACTGGAGAATTACACAGCTGTTTAGTAGGGAAGGAACCATTTTTTTCTCTTGCTGAAAAGCAGATTACACAGCTTGGATTTTTATGCAGTAACTTTACTGCTTTGCACTATGGTTCAGCTTTCTCCTCGCACTGCTATTCCAACAGGACAGACACATATAGACAAATTACAAGACAAATTATTGACATCAGGACACATTTCTCTCCATTCAAGGCAATGTTAGGGCCAGCATGAAGTAAACATGATTTCTTTATTTGGAGACTTAGTGGGGAATACAAAAGGAGGGAAGACCTTAAAGTTCAACACAGTATTCATGTAATGGATATTCAAGCATTATGGCCCTTCAAGGCCATACCCTTCAGTGACAGCAAGGACCTTTTGTATCTGCCCCCCACTGCCAGTCTGACACAAACGCCTCTCCCTCTGGAAATGGAAAAAGGCCAATATCTCTGGCTGTTTTCCCTTTAGTCCCTGAGCAGCAGGAAATAAATTGTTTCTCCTTCCTGTAATTCAGCCAGGCAGTTCAGGTCAGTACATCTGCCTCTGCACTGTGTGCTGTGACCAGAAACAAAGCTGATCTCAGATGCATTAAAAAAGGCTCTTGGTGAGTGGGACAATGGCAAAGGGCTGCAAGGAGGGATGCTAAGTTGTGTTGCCCATGCCATGGCACACAGTGGTTCCTGTAACACAGCGTGGTTCACAGGCAAATGGTGCACAAGGTAAAAATATCAGAGCCTAATTGCTGCTAATATTTTTCCTGATTTATAACCTGCATTAGTCTCCAGAACCCCTTTAGCAACTGCTTGTCAGAAATTCATCACAGAGTTCAGGTTCTCCAGAACCCCTTTAGCAACTGCTCATCAGAAATTCATCATAGAGTTCAGGTTGGAATGGACATTAAGTATCCTCTAGTTTTGGATCATCTAGTGCACATCTAGTATCATCTAGTGCACATTAATGGGTCATATTGACCTTCTGGAAAGTTTGAGTCATGTTCAGAAAACGTAGCAAATGCATCCACAAGAATAAGAATAATGAGGAAAGCAAGTAAAAAGAAGAATGAAGCATCTTGAAATTATTCTAATGGATGGCAAAAATAATGTGGTATTCACTGGAGTGATAAAAGAAAACATGGTCTGGAAATTGAAGTTCATGGAAATGTATCCGGAGTAAATGAATGCTGTTTATTCTGACACATGAGAATATTGCTTTGTGATGTTTTTTAATAGCTTTGTAAGATGAGGCCCTGCTGTTAGATGTGCAGGTCATGGCAACACCAGCCGCACCCCAGGGCTGGGGAATAAAGCAAAGGCTTTATTTACTGCAGCAGAGTAAATTGTCTGCCCTGCCTCATTCTTGGGTATTCCAAAACCCCAGGAATGTGTAGGAAAGTTGCATGTGTAGATGAGGCTCATATTTGATCAGATACAAACTGTTTCATATATCAGAAGAACCCTGAAATACAAACTGCTGCTGTGATTGGAAGGGACCAAGGGATTCCATTGACATCACAGTGATGCCCTATTTTGATGCCATAGACCTGTTGCTAAAGGAAATGGTCAAGTGGGAAAGATCTGAGCTGATTGTGACTGAGCTGAATGAGGAGCACAGCCCATGCAGAAGCACTGATTTGCCAATCCCAGAGGCAGGGAAGCGATGATACTCTCTTGCTGCCATCTCAGTTAAAGCCAGGGCTGCAGCTGTTCTAATCAGAGCTAATTAGTTAAACCGTTGGGGGTTTTTGCATGACACAGTACTTGGAAGGCAAATATGCTCAGTGATATTCATTTCAAAGTATCTGATTGACAGTGTGAACTAGATAAATTAATTATGTGTGCAGCCTCTCAAACAAGAATGCACAGTAAATAAAGGAGGACAGAAACCTTTTCCAAAATATGAATATGATAATCTGGCAAAAAATATACAATTTGAAGACAAGTAATTTTTAGAGAAGTTCAAAATACAAGCTCCCAACAGTCATTAATCATATTTTCTAACAGCAAAGCACAAAGCACAAGAGTTCCATCTTCAGACTTTCCCCACCTTTCTGTTAAAGAATATATGTGCATAGTATAGAAAATAAACTTCACATTCCATGACTCTCCAGAGTGTCTTATTATTTCTCTGGTCTAATAATAGGCCAGATAACTATGACTTCACTGTTTGCAGATGATTAACAGATGTACTAATAGTACGGTAGATGTACTGTGGAATGCATCACTGAGAAAACAGCAACACTTCAGCCTCTCTAAATTATTAGGAAGTGTTAAAGATAAACTGGTGAAGAGACAGATCTGAACTCCCGGAAAGATAAACATCCTGTTAGTGGCGTCTGTGTATTTTGAATAGTTGATTAAATTCATCCCTGTTCAAATAGCTACATACTTGGAGGCAGAAAGTTAGTCACCTTGCTATTGTTATCTCTGTAACCTTCTGTTCTGCTTATAAGTGTGGTCCTTGGGGCCAGGATCTGTCTGTGTGCAAGACATTACAAAACCTTTCAGTTTTTGAAAGTGGCATTTACTGAAAGGAGAGAGAAGCTCAGTCTACTGCAGAACCTTTTGACATAGCTGTGACTTTTCAGAGTTGGTGTGAAAGGTGCTGGATATGAATTGGCAGTAAGTGATGGATGAGATTTTATGAATCTTCTTTTAAGTGATGCAGTTTGGCACCATCTGTACTTTGAGGCATTTCCTTGCTTCTGTTTCTCACAGTTTCTCTAATTGTTCATTCAATCCTTGTGACTTAGACAAATGTTTACATGTTTCTTAAGCTGAAAATGATAGAAGAATACTAGAGAATGCAGGAGCCTGTATGCCTCAGTTAGTCTAACAGATGGATTTTCCTGTCAGAATCTTGCAGGAACATACAGTAGCTGAGGTACTGAAGGTAAAACAAGATCAACATCAAAAGAGGTTTATATATGAGATTTTCATATATCAAGAGGGTGTTAGACAGGCTGGCAGGTATAGCACCTGAAAGCTTATTTTGAGAAAAATCAGCTGAGAAAGCCTGTCTTGGGGTGACTTTATGATACTGTATCCCCTGTCTCAAACCATGATAAAACCTTGACATACTACCAGGCTTCTGGTTATTCATCTGTATCACAGGCCTCCAGGTATCTTAGATGCTATTAACAACCACTAAGTGTTGGACTTCATGCTGCATTCTGTAATCTTGCTTGTTTTTGAACAGAGGCAGAAAAAACATCCCCAAACCAAATGCAAATTCCGTTGACATTTAAAGACATTAGAGCACAGAATTTTTGGGTTTTTTCCTAACTCAGGATGAATACATTTTCCCCTTTCTTCATGTAGCAAACATAAACTGGAAAATCAGTTTTTACTAGAACTTGACCCACTTGACCCACTGTATCTGGACCAATGCCCCCATGCTGGCAAGCTAGAGAGTCATTGATGCCTGCTGAAAAGTTTCTTCATGTCAGGGGGGTTGACTGTAGTAGAGGTTCTGTGCTGTGAGATGGCCAAAAAAAGCTGGCAGAGCTTTCAGTTCTGTTACTGCATGGTATTCCCGGGAACCTGTGAATAGCTCTATGACATAAGAAAGCAGACAGAAATCCTAGATGTAGTGCCCAGTCCCTGATAATGAGACCATTTGGGTGGCACATTTCTGTCTCAACTGACTGGTCACTACTGTATGTTTTGTGACATGGTGATGCTTATTGTTTGTTAGTTTGTTTCTCACCTTGGTGTAATACACTGTACAGGATATATACTACTCCCCTGCTCAGAAGTGCAGTGATAGATGAGCACTCAGTATGTCATTGTGGAGGCTGCATTTATTCTGACACTGTGTTTCTTCTAGGCTGTTGGCTGTGATTACGAGATAAATTCCAATGCAACAGAAGACCAGTGTGGAGTTTGCCTGGGAGATGGCTCTACTTGTCATACAGTGAAGAGGATGTTTAATCAAAGTGAAGGATTTGGTAATATGGGTTCTTTCTTTAAATTCTTCCATTGGTGAAGTAATTTCTCTACGTAAAAATGATTAGTGCTTCTCGTTGAAAATTGAGCGGTCATCTACATGGGAAATTGTAAATGGGTGTTTCAGTGAATCATGCTTCTGCCAGAAAAAAAATGCATGCTCTGTGCATAGTCAGATCTGGTCATCATTTGACCTGCAATGCTGAATAAAACTACTCTTTTCTCACTGAATTTGGAAAGGAGAAACAAATTCTTCAGTCCTTGTAGAGCTGTGCATACAGCAAGGGTTTCATTAATTTGTTTGTGTCTGTTTTAGGAGTATGTAGATTTAATTTTAATGAAACAGGGAAGGATTAATAGCATCTGAGGGTTGCCATTTCACAGGTGTGCAGAAGCACCCGCAATAAGGTTACTCCAGGATTTAATGAGCCCAGTGTGTAGGTAAGACAGCTGACAATTTGACTCTTGTTGAATCTTGGATCTCTAGCTCCTTATCAAATGAAACCACATAACCAGAAAAAATTACATAAACACTATTCTCAGAATTTTAAAACAGAAATTTATTATGTTGAGTGACAAGCTCAGAAGCTTGCCACTGATTAACTTTCGTTTCAAAATCAGATAATATTTATTGGGAATCAGCAAGAGGCTCTGGGAAATCAGGAAGTAATTTAGCTGCCACAGAAAAGGCAGAAGGCAGAAGATGACACACTGAGCAAATGGTAACTTCCCTTACCAGACAATTGCAATACATTTAAAATAAGATTTATGAGCAGCAGCAGGTGATTCAGAGAATAATAACTATGCACAATCTTGAAAGGATATACATTGTGTTGTAATAGGATACAAATTGTCTTATAGTTTTTATGTTTTGTATTTTGAACAAATGTTATTCTAATTAAATAGAAAAAAAAACTCAAAACATGAACCCAACCCTACTGTAAAAGGGCACCAACATTGCGAAGCCAAGCTGTCAGGATGTGATATAATTAAGATTTTCCATGCTGTGTTAATTTGTCCTGGTTGTAAGTATGTCTTCTAATCAAGTCTTTAGTTACATAATCACACACTGTGTTTAGAACATGTCATCTCTTCACTGAATGAATAGAACATTTGGGAGAATGATTAGACTTGGTTACTTACAGTAGACCTAGACCACTGATTTCCTGAATAATAGAAGTCATTCAGTGAGCTTCCAGATTTTCTTACTTCATTCACTTAGAAAAAAGTGATTCACTTAGGAAAAAATGTTTGGATTTCCCCAGTCAGTCAAGGAGACTTGCAAAAGGTAACATTCAGAAAATGCTCCTTCTTAAACATCAGTCACTGGAAATCCATGTATATTTTATCAATCCAATTAGGAAAGAGTTGAAGTAGACAGATTCTATTTTGTACCATAAGCAGCATAGGATATTTTAACCAATATTTATTGCACCACGAAAGAGCTGCTAAAAAAAATCAGACGTTAAAGACTCTTGGGCACTTTTTTACAGCAGCAGGTTGTTGTGCAGCACATAAATAGTTCTGGTAGGAGAAGAACATTGATACTGAAGATAGCTTAGCACGCCCAGTGTGGTTTATCTCACTCATGTGAGATAAATCAAAGGTGATAAGCTCACTTCACAAAAAAGGTGAACAGGATGTGACTCTCAGAATTTAATTCATGACCTCAGAAAGGTGTCATGAGAACTGGGGAACTCATGTTCCAGTCTTGAAGTAAACCAGCACAAAAGGCAGCTCACACTCCTAGTGCACCAACTTGTAACAGTGTCATCCATCTAATTTCTAGAGCTCAGCTAGGGGCAATAACAAGAAAGCTACCTGTGTTTGTGTTCGCGTATCTATGTGAACTTCCTATTTTTACAATTCAGTAACAACAACAACAGCTTCCTGTAAGGTGAGAAGAACAGAGTCATCACATATTGCCTGTGATGTGAACAAAATTCTGTAATTAGATGCTTTGGGTCTTTCTTAACACACAGCCCAAAAATCTCTAAATAGATAACTACCCATGAAGAGCCCTTGAACTTTGTTATGAATATTGGTAGTTTACAAAATGTGCTGAATTTATAGTAGTAATATGAGGCATTTGAATAATATAATTTTGTTATTATTGTTGTTGTAAGACAGTCACAGAGAAGTTAAATGCCTTAAGAGAAGGTTCATGGACTTCTGCGCATACCTGTGCATTGGGTGCAGACGGAAATGTTCTTTGCAAATTGAAAAAAAAACCTTTCCCACAACAAGCTGTTAACTTGCTGGAACTCCCTGGCATTTCTCCAGATGGCAGTATGCCAGAGCCCTCGGGTATGGTTATGGAAATGTTGATGCTCATGTGTGGAGTAGATTTCCCCTGGCACAGCTCTGAACATCATTCACCTCCTCATTCCTTTTAAATGCCACTGGCATTTAGAAAGTGGCATTTAGAAATTGGCACCTAAACACTATTCCCCAGCTGGTACTAGAAACCCTGACTTGGAAAGTCATGCTATTAACAAACTGAAATACAAGCTTTGTGACAGAACATTTGTGTATTTTTTCAAGCAAAGCTGTTGTTTTAATCATCTTACAAATAAATAAAATGCAGTGACATTTCTGTTGCTCCCCTACATGCATTTTTCTTGTCTCTTAGGATATGTTGATATTGGGCTAATTCCAAAAGGTGCAAGGGGAATCAAAGTAATGGAAGTTACAGAATCAGGAAATTTCCTTGCTGTGCGAAGCAAAGATCCTGAAAAATACTACCTGAATGGAGGCTTTATCATCCAGTGGAATGGTGAATACAAAGTGGCTGGCACAGTATTTCAGTATGACAGAACAGGGGATCTAGAAAGTTTGACTGCTCCAGGACCCACCAATGAATCAATATGGATTCAGGTAAACAAGAGATCAGGAGCAGAACCTGCTCATTTGCATGGTAGCAGAGTGTGCTGGGGCCCTGGAAGTAGGGCTGGGAAAAATATGTATGTTGGTATATAAAGCTCTGTTAATGTGCTGTCTTGAAAAAAAAAAAACAAACAGTTGAGCACTTTTGGAGAGAGATAAGCACTTTGCTTCTGAGGGCTTTTCATCCTGCCTAAGAACACAAGTTGTGTATTGCACTCCAATATTTGTTAAAGGCTGGTGTAATCCTGTGCTACCACGAGGACAGGGATCCTATTGCCTGCAGATGGTCAGTCCTTTGCCCAAACTTTCTCGTCTCTTGCACCAAATTTGACTAACATATGGCTGTGATGTGAACCAGATCCAGATGAAAAATAAGTTGTTACAAAAAAGGGAGCTGATGTCAGGCAGTGAACAGTGAGAGCTAGGGACAGCTGGCAGCAGTGACAGCTTACGCAGTGCAAGAAAAGCATAGAGCATTACACAGATGGGTTAATTGCTTATGGTAAGTGAAACTCACACATTTATCATCCACAGAGGCTGATTTCTTTTGTTTCTTTCATGTTGCTTTATGGATTCTGACTTAAACATAACCAGCTTCTGTCAGTTCTAAAAAAATATTTTGGAAGTGGCCCGTTGATCTTTGGAAGTATCTCTCATGGCTTGTTTGCATGTGTATCCACCATACAGTCAAAAGAAGTATTAGGTGTGTGATGGGAGACCACTTTCACACTTTGAATATCTGGTGAGAAGGCAAAACTCATGAGTGCTCAGACTTCACTTTTAGTACAACTGGGAAGAAGAGTAAAAGTTTATGGCTGAAATATTTTTTTTCCCTTGATGATGTTTACTTTCTACCTCTTGGGTGAATTTCCTGAGTGCCCCTTCACAGCTGGAATTTTTCTTCTTAATTCATAAACACTGAAAATAATAATAAAGCACTGTCTGAATAGCATCTGTAATTTTCTGACTTAATGGTTGTTTTGTAACAGCTATTTCAGAAGGTAGTAAAATTATAATTAATAATGGAGATAGGCAATAGCTCTTAATCAACAGCATAGGGGTGCTTTGGATGGATCTTTTCTTATAGTTAGTAGAATACCAATTATGCTGACCCATTTATTCCCACCTGTATTTGCAAAAATGCATGGTAAACAGCTGTGCCTTTGAAAAATTCATGTTATGCTACCATCGACAAAGAAGTGGAAATTTTGCAAGTCTGCTTCTCTGAACTGGTAGCAGACTGTATGGGCAGTTTTAATTATTCCAGTTTCACACTTGAAAGCTTTTGATCAGTAGTTTATTAATTAAACAATTAATAAACCCCACTCTCTCCAGCTGCTTTTTCAAGAAACTAACCCTGGAATTGAGTATGAATACACTGTACGCAAAGAAGAAAGTCATGAGAATGAGATTGGAGAGCCAGAGTATTTTTGGCAATATGGAGAGTGGACAGCCTGCAGTGTTACCTGTGGAAGAGGTAATTCCTCACTTCCTTTTTCTCTTACTGTTTGCCTTTGTTACAGATGTAGTCCTCAAAGAGGCATTTGGTGGGAAATCAGATCACATGGTTACAAAAAGAATGTGAGGAATCACTTGTTTACTTTAAGGGTGGCAGAGCACTGGAACAGGCTGCCCAGAGAGGCTGTGGAGTCTCCTTCTCTGGAGACATTAAAACTCTGCCTGGTTGTGATCCTGGGCAGTTTGCTGCAGGAGACCCTGCTTTAGCCGGGGGGTTGGGCTACATGATCTCCAGAGGTTCCTTCCAACCCCAGCCATTCCATGATTCTGTGAATAATGTATTTTGACTTCTAAATAAACATTTTTTAAAATTATATAAGTCCAATAGGTTTCTAAAACACCCGCCCTGAAATTCTCAGCTTCTGTGAACCAAAATAAGAAGGTACAGTTTTCTTGCCTTCATAATTTTTTGTTAATACTGTTCACCATAGCCCTTCTTTTCAGCCATACAAATTTATGACCTATTGTTTCTCTATTAAGTCTAATAACTACAAAAAATGTTCTTCATTTCTGTCCTGCCTTGATAAGCAATAACTCTTTTTTGTGCACTGCTCAGTAATTACTTATTTGCAGTTAGTCTTGAGAACTTCCATGTGTTTGTCCATTTGGCAATAGCTTGGGTACCACTGCAGTTATACTGCAGTTCCGTGCAGCACATTAAACCAGACAAGCAGAATGATAACTGTGGAGTAGGATCTAACAACAGGTCTAGAAGTTGGCTTCTGGTAACTCACACAAAATGCTAGCAGGAGAACTTCTTCTGAAGTAGCTAACATCAGTGAGATAAAGTTAATATTTGTAGTAAACCAACAAAAGGATAAAGAGACAAAATATTTACATTAGTAATTTTTTTTTTATGCATCTATTGTGGGAATAATTTTGAAAATGTGAAAAAAAGGTTGTATGTGAAGGGAAATCTGAACCTGGGGGAAAGGAATTGTAGCCTTCTGTCTTGAATTAGCTCTTGATTTTCACAGGACAGTAAAAGAATTCTGGAGATAAAACCATAAGCTCTTTCTTTCGCCGCTTTGTACAGTGTGAAAACTGTAGAGAAGAGTAGAAGATCAGTGTTACAACCAGACCAGTAATATGAGAAAGACCTTTTCTAATGCTAGAGTATTGTTAATGGCTTTTGGTAATTACTGCCTTTTTAACTGCTTTGCAGAAGTAAAGAAAAAGGACAAACAAGTGATATAATTAACCCAGTTGTGATTCTAGAAGTAGTGATGATTGCAGGAATAACATTTTTAAATCTCTTCTGCCAGAGAAGACTCTAAAATGATGCATTTTCAGTGGTTTAAACAAACGGCATTTTATGACCTAATTTTATAAGATTAAAAAAAGAGCTTTTAAAAGCCTAGTAAAAAATATCCCGTCCCAAAACCATCCACATATTATTTAAAGATATTTATACATATATAATCAACATATTATAGAGATGTGTGTTCATTCATATATATGTATGCTTGTTTAGATAGATGTTGTGGTTTTTTTCTGGGTTTTTTTTTGAGAAGAGTTTCTCAGCACACAACTTTATGTGCTTTCTGATGGGGAGACACCCACCTTTTTCTTTAAACATGTGCACAAAACAAGTGGTTTTGCTTAATTGTGTTCTGTAACTTTTATTTCTGATACCTGCCTAATTCTTAGTCATGTTTAATGTAAAAATTGTTGTGATTAAAAGGGGAATGTGATAGTAGACTGTTTGTTATGCTGTTTTGAGGTTCTTTTTTCATTAGCTGCCGTTTTCCAGAACTTTTTCTCACTAGGTAAACTGTAGCTCTGTGTACTCTCCTCTGGCTAACAGACTGTGTGGTGTGGCTTTATTTTCTACCATGGGTTACTTAGATAGATAACTGTTGAGTATCAGTATTGCAGTTCTTATTTACTAATTGACTTCCTCTCTTTGCTACATTTGTGCTCTTAGTAGGTGCTTCTTGAGTTACTACCTTTGTATAAGTAGAAATCGTGTGTTTCAGACAGGATTATGGACTTGGTAGCATCAGTTGGAAGGGGAACCAAGAGGTGCATCCCAGTTCATGAAGGGCACAGACACCTCACCTGTTCTCTGCATTCCTTCATGGACAGAAGAATATAAGTTAATAAACCTGGAGCCCTCTTTCCTCTGAGATATAGATATTTAGAGAAGTAACTGGACAGGTCTAAAGAAGGATGTAGTTTGCTAATGCAATGATGCAATCAGGGTATTTTCTCTCACTCCCTGCTCATGAAAACAGAGAAATCCTGGCACAGAGCTCCAATGCATCACTTGGAATGGGAAAGTCTGATATGCCAATCTGCCTGCAGCTCTCTGCAGGTTCACGTTGTATTTGGTTGTGATCAGGGCCATCAGGATGAGCATCCCTGTTCATAGCACCATTAAGGCTGGAAACAACTGCAAGATCAAGGAGTCCCAAGCCGTGACCAAACATGACCTTGTCAACTAAACTGTGGCCCCAGGTGCCACATCCATCCTAGGGATGGTGACTCCACCACTTCCCTGGGCACCCTGTTCCAATGCTTGACTACCCTTTCAGTGAAGAAATTCTCTCTGATGTCCAGCTGACTTACACAAAATTTCCTTTTGGCTGTGAACAATGTGATTGATTTTATGTGAATATTCACTTTGCTTAGATTCAGAACTTATTGCTGTGGGCAGTAACACACTTGTTGTACCAAATCACTGGCCTTTTGAAATGTTATGAGAAGTTTATAAGATAAAAGTGCACTGAAGTAGACAAGATCATCTTCTGCTATGGCTGTGCTGCAGGACAAGTGTTATTGAAGATAAACCTACAGGGAGATAAATAAGAAAAGCTGTTGTTATTTAGCCTAATGTTAGTAGTAAATAGCTTTTAAGGATTATTGCAATTACCATTTGGTAAGCAATAAACCAATATTTTTAGGATAAAAAGGAGGGCCAAGAAAGATAAACTGCTGAACTAACTTTGACAGCCACAGCCAGTGGGAGAAACTGATCCTTACCTAGACTTCTGTTTTCTTGGGAAACCAGGACCTGCCAAAGATCCTGCACAGGTCCTTTCATCACCACTGGCCAAAAATACAACAATAAATGCAAGAGTACTTCAGCCGTTGGTAGCCACAGAAATCAAGACAATACAAACAAATGCTTTCTGGAGCCAAGAAAGAAAATTTGTATTTGGGTATAAGAAATTGGGCGACAGGCAGGGCAATGGACTTATACAGGAAATCTTCATCAGCCCTAAGAGAAAAAAAATTTATTTAGCCCTGTGGTGCAGCTCCTTATCCTTGGGAAATGTACCCAGAAAAATCCCAGTGATGAATAAAGACTTTGTACAGTGAAGCTGTCTCTTCCCAGAATGAGCCCAGGGCAGCTCTCTGGACATGTTTTCCCTCAGATTCTTGGCCTCAAGGTAGCACCATGGCATGCCCTGATGCATATCCTTCTCCAGCTCCACTGCAATGGAGAAATAGAAGATTCAAATATTCTCATGGCTTCCTTCATTTCTTTCATGTGCTCCCAGCTATTGTAATGTCAAAGAAGGCTCTGGCCAGTCTACTGTAACACCACTGAATGGGGAAAAAATACTCTTTGAAAAATCAAGGTTTTCTGTAGCAAGTATACCTAATGCTGCATGCAGGGAGAAGCAGAACACACTGCAATACTGATACTCATTTGTAATGAAGAAAGTAGATAGGTAGTTACATTGCAATCCAGTTCATGGCAAACAAGCACCAAAGAGGATCATTTGTAGCAAAAGTCATAATCCTTTCTCTGTCATCAGTAGAGGACATGCTGAATCTCTTCCTGCTGTTTGCTTTATGGTGAAAGGAATTGCTTTGCAGTCAGAATGTGTGCACACGGGTGTCCTGCAAACTGCTGCACCCTCTGAACAAGAGCTCTCCCACAAGAGCCTGCTCTCAAGACAGCAGGTAGAGCCCGTAAGCTTTTTTACATGCAGATTAGTTTAAATGTGTCACTGAGGTTCTTTTCTAGACCAACTACCTATTGTTCCTTCTTTAAATAATCATGGAACAGGTTATATCAAAATTACAAGTATAAATACTTTCTCCTTGTCTAAAGGCTTTGGTCTTGTTTCTTAGAACCAGCTTTGAGCGGCATTAAATATAACAAAAAGCATAGCACAGTACAATTACAACTAAGGGAGAATATTGGCCAATATCAGAAGGTTGTTTCTCCATAGATAGTATTGGTAATTGGCAGATTTTCAAAGCTCTGCAAAAGAACTGAACTCTAAGATTCTTTTTGGAGTTAACTGTTATATGCCCTCTAAATCCTTCACGACTCTTATAAAGGCCGCTCTGCAAAATTATTCCAAGTGTTCCTAAACTTGCAGTGTTGTTTTTAGAATACAAAGGTCACTCTGTTTCCATTTACTGTTGTGTGTCTGAGTTTTATAGTTCTAAGAATGTAAAGACTAAAACTTGTATTCTGTGCATAACTTGTGCATGCACAGAATATAATTTTCTCATTCAAATAAAAAGTGAACTCCTTGCAGACTATCTAAGTGCATAACTGAGATGATTATATGTTCAAATGAGCTCTGAAGTCAAATATGCGTGTTTCTCATACACCTTTTGTACACTTTCTTATGATCCTTCATTTCTGTTGTTTACAGCCCAAACTGAGATCTCTGTGGCAAAAAGATTTCTAATCTCTCTTTCAAAATCCTTTCACACCCAGATGACTTTGTACTGGTACCTTTCTTTGCAAACCAAGTGAGAAATCAAGATACATGTGGGTCAGCCTCACATCTAAATACTCCTGCATTAGGGATGAAGTGTCACAGAGAATCAGAAGGAATATCTGAGCAGATTTAGTGAAATGAAGATTATTCTCTGATCTGATTATTATCTTTCTTGGTTTCTCCTGTCTTTCCCAGAAATACTTGTCAGGTTCTTCTCACAAAGCTCAAATAGTACACATCAGGTGAACTAATCAGCATTGAGGTTAGAGAGAAGTAAAAGTGGTGAAGGGAGGAGAATACTTTCAGTGAAGCTTTCAGTATATTTAGAATTTTTAATCTGTGACTTAAATAGGATATTATCCGCTTAAGTTGTATAACTGTAAATACTTGCAGGGTCGGGTCAGTAGTGACTAGTTGTATTCTTCTGCAGTGTTTTCTAATTCAGCTTGCTCAAAGTGATAAAACCATTTCTTTATGTCATAGCATGTAAACCTACATCTATATGTCTGTGTTGCTATATGCATATAGGATTCCTTCCAACTTTGGAGCTGAACTGCCAGAGATTTTGAAACTACAGTGGGAGTTCACATAAGTTTCATAAAGAAGTTTATTAGAATAAACTAGTTCATTTGTGTCAGCTGGTCATTTTTTGAGAATGTACAGCTTCAAAGCAAAACTTTTGCAAAGGTTTATAGAGGCTATTAAATGAATTGCAGCAGCTGAAATGACACTAAAAATTTATCAAAGCAAAAGATTTCTTGTTGTTTGTATTTGGAACAGCAACATATCATGATTTTGAAAGTAACAGAAACATTTCTGCCAACTGCTTTGTTTACAGCTAGCAGAAATGTTGCTGAATTTTCTAGTTTATTCCATTTATTCCAGACCATAAAAGAGAGCACTGCTCCCTGGGAGTTCTATGCTGAGAGAAAAAGCTTTCTCCTGTTTGAAGTCACCTATGAATAAGATGTCACCTATGAATAAGATGTCCAGGCTTACTGCAGTCTTGCAGCTGCACCATGGACCCATGGACCCTTGAATGCCTCAGTCCCTTAATCTTCCCTTAGAGGTGACGCTAACCACTGTTCTAAAAGATCAGCCTTCATATCTGTCTGGAGCAGAGTCAGTCATCAGATCTTGTGCTGTAGTCAGTAATTGTTTTATATGTCTCAGTCATAAGTCTGAAAGTAATAAAAAAGTGAAAGTATTTCCTCACATACCTGATGTTCTCCGGTGGTAAAAAAAAAGGATGTAGGTTTCCATTGGTTTCTATGAAATGACCCAAATATGCATGCAAAACTGTTCTGTGTTCTTGAGCCGCTGCAGGATTAATTATTTGATTTGTTGGTCCTGCAGGGCTTTTCCAACCTTAACGTTTTTATGATTCTATGAGTATATAGAGGAATATATTACTATTTCCCAGTTATTTTCTGTGGATTGCTGTTCTTATCTTCCACGTATATTCCCACACTAGTTATTAGGAGGCCTGAGGAAAGGAAAAGCTTGTTTCCTAAACATACTGCTAAATAGCCTAACACTTATCCTTGCTGTCACGATAACAGTGCTGTTAAGCCCTGTGCATCCCAGGAGGAAGATAAAAGTTCTAGAGAGGCAGTGATCTACTAGTGTGTATTAATTGTGGTGAATGAATAGCACAGTTAATAATAGTTAATAAATAATTTTTCATTCTTTTTAGTCCTTAATATTTTTTTGACAATTTTAATGCCTCTATATCAGTCTCACTACAATCTTTCAAACTGTAATATTGCAGTACTTTTGTTTACATTGGATTGCAGCAAGACATCTGTCTCAAGTTATTGCAGAACTATGTGGGAAGCAGGCTCCTGGAAACTGGCTTTCTTTAGATTCACGCTAGGTTAATGTAATACTTTGGTTCATGTTTCTTTCTGTTAAACGAGTGGGGTTTTGAAATTACAGTGGGAATAATAAATATAAATATAATATAAATGGAAATGTTAGGAAATAACCCAAATTGTTTGTGTGGGTTGTTTCTGTGTGTCTCTTTACCACTGTGCTTTGCCTGTTGTGCTGAATGTTGTGTATTACTTACTTAGAAAATAGAAGACATTTTTCATCATCAATTTCAGTCAAAATGTGTACCAAAACTTCTTAAAAATTGAATTCACATTAAGAGTCATAGGATTAATCTGTGACTCTGGTTTGTGTTCTGCTTAAACAGCCTTCCCAATGAACAAAGAAAAGGTCATCAAAACCAGCCTGATTGCTGCTGTGTTTCCTCATCTGTGGGTTACTCAAGAACCCTTCATAGCCATTTAAACCTACTTGAGGGCCTGCAGGAGCCCTTTCTGAGGCTAACAAACACATTAAGGGAAGTGCTTTCTAATCTGTCATTTGAGCTCTGATCTGATCCAAAAGAGCTCCGCTTAACCTTTTCAGCGTGGGTGGAGGATGTGTGTACCTGGGGATCTCTGCAGTTCATCCGCGGCCCGTGGGGATTACTGCTCCTCTCTGTGTGTGTCTCTGGCAGGGCTGCGGCGGCAGATTGCCCACTGTGTGCGGAGGGGCAGCAGAGCCGTCAAGAGCTCCTTCTGTGACCCAGCAATGCAGCCGAACGGGCGGCAGAAGAAGTGCCACGAGCAGGACTGCCCGCCCAGGTAACAGGTTCTGGGGGGCTCTGGGGGTGGTAAATAGCACCCCTGCTCAAAGGAAGGTGTTCCTGATGCCAGGTTCGCATGGCATCCACGGCCTTCCATGGTGCCGTACCTTGCAGAGTAAGGTGCCATCATAAACAGATCAGAAGTCAGCCATCCTTAGAGGTTTCTAAGTCAAGTTACTGAGCAGTCAAGTTGCTGAGTGAAGTTACTGAGCTGGAAATGGCAGAGATTGTTCTCACATGTATGTGGATAGTGGTTTGTTCTGTTTGGGTATGGGTGTGCCTGAGGAGCCATATAGATTCTTATTTTAAAACTGTATTCTTGCTTTAGCTCAAGTGAGCTAAGAAGGATTACTATGTGCTCCAAAAGCAACTAGCAGAGCCTTTAGATGTTGTTTCTCAGTATTTATGTTTCTTCTTATTTATAACTTTGAGTGAAGTGCAGTTTTCTTAATTCTGCAATCACATGGGAATAATTCTTTCTTTTCCCATAACATTGTCTTAATTTATATCAATCTCTGGTTTTTCTGTGCTACCATTTTTCTGTGCTTCTGTTCTGTGCTACCACTCTCTGCTACCATTTTATCATTTAGTAGGGTAAGGAAGACAACATTCTAGGTGCCTGCAGAGCTGTGGGCTTGTACAATAGGCACTGATTTGCTGTATGAGAACAATATTGGTTTTTGTTTCATGCTTTAGGTACTTTGGTTTTGTTTTCTGTTGTCTTTGAAAGTTGTTTATCATGCTGTTCACAAAGGTACAGCAGTCTTTCAGAGTCAAATCGAAGCAATGAGTCCTTGGAGTTCATTGTGTTGCATTTGCCAGCAGTGAATTTCGTGAAGCTTTGATGTGAAAAGTTGTGTGTCGTTGTTGGTTTTATTAGTTGTTTCCAAGTATCTTCATAACAGTGTATGATGCTTCTGTGGGACTTTCATCTTTGTGCTTGCAGCATGGACTACCAGCATTTCATAGTTCTTTGTAGATTTCCAGGAAATCAATTGAAAGTAGACCAAACTTTTTATTACTTGACTAGTTAAGAACTAAGGCTGCCCATACATGTTGAAGTGTTTTTTCATGGCACAATCAAACTATACCATCAGAAGTATACTGTCAGTTTTAAAAATCCTGATTAACTCAATTTATGGCATTTGTTCTAAGTGACAACATTATTCTGACCTGCTGTTAAAAGTGAGAAAGGGGAGTTTGTCCCTTATTGAGCAAATGACACCATGTCATACATAGAACAAACTCTTCTGCAGACCAAGCAGAAAAGCTCTTGTCTGCTGACAGCATGTGATGCTTCTTGAGCTCATTCTGTGCTGCAGGGGAAATCCCAATTCATCCTTTTGAGGACAGCAAAATCACAACAAAATGCAGTGTAGGAAAACCATATGCATTTAATACTAGAGTCATGTTGCATATTTATTTTTTCTCTTAGGAACTGTAGGAACTTGACCAAGGGACTGAGTCCCTGTTCTGGCTCTCACCAGGGCCTATATGCCTAAGGAGGAATAGGTCAAACATAAATCAGATTTCTTTGTAAAGCTCCTCCAGCTTCCAACTGCTTTTAATTGAGTACATTTCCAGAGGTTTTTATGGCTTGTCTAATGAGTAACCTCCAATGAACTTCACTCATCCAGCCTCCTTCTGCAGCCTTGAAAAACTTCTATTACATACAACATCCTCTGCAAGAAGTACCACAGCTCTAGTGCCTATGTGAAGCATCACCACATTTTAACCTGGCTCTCACTATCTTCTGTTGGTGGCCCTGAGTTCTTGTGTCAGAAGAGATGGCAGCAAAGAATGAACTATTACTCACTCTTCCCAAACCCTTCCTCTTGTAAATCTGCTCTCTGCTCCAGGCTGTAGTCCCAGCATGGGATTAGTTGGTGTTCACTTTTCCATAGCATATGGGGCACCTCTAATCTAGACAGATGGTTTCTGTCTTCCTTCAAAACCCAAGACAGATTAGTACAGTTTGTTGGTTCTAAAGGAAATCTGAATGCTGGAGGCAGGTGTGACTGTCCCATGTGTCATTTATGTGGGATAACTGAGAGTCTACATGGAGCTGCTGAGGACAAAGTGTTCTGTACAGAGGTGGCTAAATTTTGTGCCAGAGGTGAGGACAGTACTGTTAAACACAATCCTGCAGGAGACCTTTCTTTAGTGCTGCAGCCAAAGAACTGAAATCGCTGGATGACCTTGCACTTCTCAACAGTGAACCAGGTGTTTTATAGTAGGTTCTATCCAAAAAATGATGGCTGTTCCCTGCTAAATCACACTGATGAAAAACATGCTACTAGACCACTAAATAAGAAATAGAGAATTTATCAAACAGAAGCTACAGACAAAGAATAAAATGTTGTGGCTCTCACAAACCAGATCTTACCTCATTAATCCATTTCAGGAAGTCAGTTGTATACTGTTTAAATTACAGACTTGTGAGAAGTCTAAGCCCTAACATTCTTGTTTGTTGGCTGATTTGCTCTTTGTATTTATTTAATGCTTATTATTACACTTATTATTTTACTTTTTCCTAAAATAATTCAGAGGAAAACAGAAAAAAATGTAAAATATCACAATACATATATGCCGTGTTTTGATTGAAAACAAAATAAAGGTGACTGGACAGCTGAGAGTTAAAATGTCATGCAGCCACTCATGTACTGCTTCAGTGATATAGCTTAGGTGCAGTGCATCAAGACTGTAGCACAAATGCTTGCTTTTTCCCACATCATGCTATGGAGTACGGTTTCCAGTCGAATGTTTCTTTGGTAGGCACGTGTTAATGTTAAAATCAATGGAATGGATACTACTTGAAAAAGCATGAGATTTTAATTACTTATAGCATTATGAATAAGGTTTTGCTTTCTCCTGTAAAGAAAATTATCTGGAGCCTTTTAAACTTGACTACCCAATTGAACAGAGTAACCATAAATAGATTATTTTAAAAGTACTTGGAATCTGCTACTTTTTATCTGTTGTTGTTGCATTGTCCTGCTTCCAAAACTGCTGACTACACTTCCAACAACATAGTAAGAATAGGAAATCTGGTTTCTATTCCAATGCACAGCGTGAAAATTCATGCACTGTTGGTATTTGCTGTGCCTGATGCTAGACAAATACATAAGGAAAGCCAGCAGTCTCTCTTTAGGTGTGACATGCCATGATGGGAAGGAGGTAACTTTCAGCCCCAAAGCCCCAAAATCCCATGCTATTGCTTTTTCAACAGGATTCACACATCATTCACCACACATCTTCTATGTATAAATGAGGACTATGTCACGGGCTTTTGGGCTCTGCCTAATTTGTTACAAGCCTTAGAAACCCAGTTTGTAAGAAAAAGATAAGTCTCTTTTAAGGCAGCTGAATGCCACTTGAAAGAATGAGATTTTCTTCCTTTCTCTGTCCCAGGCTTGATTGCAGAAGAGCTGAACACTTAACACCCGCAGCTCAAAACTACCCGAAGTTATGTTTTTACCAGACAGGATGCTTTCTGTTTTGACAGTCTGAGGAAAAACAGTGTTCATGCAAATTAATTACCTAAATAATGCATTTTTTCATATTTGTTTGTTTGTTTGCTACCACAATCTTTCCATGCCATGCCTGCCCGTGAAGATAAGACAATCATTTCACTTTGCAGGGATTTGTTGATGCATTAATACTTAAGAACCACTCAGTTGCTGTAGCAGTAAATGCCAGAGGTAGACTCAGAAACCAGAGGTAGGAGCAAATATTGGGTGCGGGCTCCCATAAGGCTTTAGTGTCCACCAGCTTGTCCCAGTCTCTCACCACAGTCTTTAGCTTGGCTGGGAGATCCAACATCTTGGTCATTTCCTCTCAAAAGTTGCACATTTAGAGCTCGGATTGCTGTGTTAATTCTGGATATGTGTTTGGCAGTCACGTGCAGTTTTGGTTATGCCTCTGCACTGCGAGGAGACAGCAAAAGTTCCAAATAAGCAGAGCTTGGCAAAGCAGTCACTCAGATGCTACTTTCTTCTTTGTGGTCCAGAGCCTGCTCTGGGGCATCCGGTGCCAGAACAGACAAATGGATGTTGGTTGTTTCGCCATCCTTGCTTTGCCTTTGTTCCCTGTTGGCTGAGATGCCACAACTCAAGTCTTCAAGCAGAAACCACGAAGAGACAGGAGCACAGGTGATTCCATGTCAGGTTTCTGACTCTTGGATAATAAGGCATATGCATGTACCCTAGGATGAAAATAAGAAAACACAACATGAAAAATTCCAGTTACTGTTAAGAGTAAACTTCCAGTTATAGCAAGTTTTTTTGAAGTTACCTGCACCGAGTGAGGAAGAAGTCTACAGAAAAAAATAACCTGTCTGACTGTAGTTTTATTTTGATCATGAAGATGGAATAAAATAACATCTTGATTCTGTGATTTTCTAACTGTGGAGCACCTGACTTTTTTGACTACTTCCACAGCTTTTAAAAGGTGTATGGTGTGCGACAGTTAATCACACACCATTACTTGCTGCTCAAGGTAGGTTCTGTGGTAAGCTCTGATAATTTATTTCTTGGAATTTGGTATTTCAACGTATCAGTTGTTAAACCCTCAGTCAGAGCCATTTGAAAATGCTGAGGGGGAAGAGGTGTCAGTTTAGCAGATCTGTACCTCGAAATATGTAATTTGGTCCCATTAAAATTAATAGAGCTGTTCACATATTTATGTTCCATTTGTGCGGAAATGTCAGCAATTTACAAGATTATAGAAGAGATAAAATTGTAAAGAAGATGCAAGAGATGATAATAACCCTGAAATGGCTTTATTCAGGTGGTGATAATTTTCTCTCTTTTTTTTTTCCTTTTATTGCTGTGTTTGGCTGAGGTGTACTTAATTTTTACTTACTTGTTAGAGTTCCTTTGATGTTTGCAGACCTGGAAGAACAAGAAACAATCTGAAGGAAGGCAAGAGGAGGAGAAATATATTTTGGGTAGATACTTTCAGATGTTTTTTTAGTTTAGTTTGGAATATTAATTTATTTGGAAAGATATTTTAGGATATTTTTTAGTTTAATTTGGTCCAGAGCCCTTACCACTGGGTTATGGTGACAGTGGACTACATTCTGGAGCAAAGCAGTCAGTGCCATGAAGGGCTGTGGGGTAACTTAAGAGGAAATGCTGTATTTATAGATTACTAAACAGGAAGAAGATAGGTGTATGTACTACAGAGAGGACCAGATGGCTGCACAGATAAGCTGTATGGTAGCTTGATAGCTCTGAGTCTTGGATGTTTGGGTTATTTTTTCTTTAATTATTAGGAATAGATACCAGTGCCTTCAACATCAGTGGCTGCTCATTTGCAGTGGAAGTAAAACTGAATTAAGGAACATGGAAACTACAGTAGGGAGGGGAGAGGGATTATCAGCAAAGACAAAGCATAAAAACTGTTATAAATCTGGATGCTGAACTTTGATTTATTTATCAGAATAGGATTATTTTGTCTTTAAGTTCATGGACCTTAAAAAAACCCAAAACTAGAATACTGTTGATTGTAAGTCAAAAGCAATTTTTTCTACCTTTTTTTCTAGATAGGTGTTTTTAAAATATATTCTTGCTTTGTCTTCACTATAAGGCTTTGTTGTGACCTCCTTGAAAACTCTGGAACAAGTTAACGAGCTTTTGTTAAGGAGCTTTTGTAGCTTAGAGTTTAGAGCTGGGCCAGATTTTTTATGCAGCAGCTTGAAGCTGCATTCTTGCTTAGGGCATGCTTAACTGAAGGAAAGAGGCTTTTCTTGGTTTGTTTTTTCCTTCTTTTTTTCAACTATAAAGATAAATCTTCAGGTAAATGTCGCAGTTGATGATAATGCTTCTCAAACTGTAGAAACCCAGAAATTTTTGCTCCCCTTTCTTATCACAGAGGGCAGATATGCAGGTGCACAAGTTGCTTTAGGTCAGCATAGGAAAAAATAGTTTGATGATGCTGGAGAAATGCTAATGTGAACCAAATGTAAAGGGAACAGCTGTTGTAGGTAAGGTGTTTTGTGCTGGAAAATGCTATTATAGAGGAAAGAGTTGAAGCAATACGTGGAATAAATAAATAGACTCCACAACTTGGGGTAGTTCTGAAGTGGGTATGTATTGTCAGTGCCTGACACAAGTGAGATCGCTCTCCAAGACTTGTGCCATGAGCTTTAGTCTGACCCAAACCTTTATTCCCAAAGGTGTTCCATATGCAGTACATTACACTTCTCTGTGCATATTCAACCCCTGACCCCGCCTGCCCTCGCCTCTCATGCTGAATAGGTCCACGCCCTTCTGGGCACACGTGGTTTGCTGTGGTGGTCACATGGGGGTCTCTGGTGGTCTCTGAAGCTGAAGATCGTGGTCTTCTTCATGGTTGAACTTTTGAACTTTTCTCCTTTGCGCATGTGCTTTTGGTCCTTTGGTGCTTATCTGCGTCCTGTCTGTCAGTCTTGGTAGGCTTAGGGGCAGAGGAGCCTCTTTATCTGGGTTCTTGGTATCTTCGGTCATTTCTGGTATTGTTCTTTATGCAAGAAGCTTCAGAAATTTGCATTTTCTCATGCCTTTTTGTACCATGGCAGAGGTTTCTTAAGTAAAAAGTTAAAATTCAACACATAACTCTACAAGCTAGAATATAAATGCTTAATTCATTTTGTTGACTTAAATGAACTCAAAAAATCTCTGTTTCAAGAGTTACCCTCAGTTTGGTGGAAAATTGCATACCACAGCATGGAGACTGACTTCAGTCATGACAGAGACATAAAGAGGGCTCGTTTCTACTTCATGAAGGAATGAAGTACAGAAAAGTCCAGCCTAACGCAGGCCTGGACACAGTAGTGAGGGCACTGATCCCACACAGCATAGCTCTGACTAACCTGGTTTTGGGGCTGTGTGCCTCACTGCTTCCCCTAATAGGAAGAGGCCTTGTGGAGGGAGGTAACCCTTATGGAGAGCCAGTTTGAGTATTTCTGCAGTACTGGCTGCTTAGACATGGGTAAAGAGATCTCTGTGCTGTCATTACAGACTCCCCAGTGATTCTCATTTGTTAATTCTTCTGTACCGAGGTAGCAATAAACAGACAAACAATAGGATTGAGTAAATAGGTTACTTGCTTAAGTAGATTTGCTAGCAGTTCCTCAGATTTGGATTTGAAGGACTACTTACTAAGTAGATGTTTACGCTTTCTTGAAGCATAATGCTTGTTGCCTACTTTGTCTGGAAATCCTGCCTGCTTCTGTCTTCTCTCTTTCACTGACTGGCTGGTACTAGAGCACAAGGTGGATGGGAGAGCTTGAGTGATCTGAACCTTATGTGAAGAGCATATATCTGAGCCCACATTTACTGGCTCTTTTTCTTGCAGTCTTTGACCTTTTCCTTGATGTGCTTGTGGTGGGTTGTTTTCTGATGTTTCTCACCCTGCTGCTTTTCAGGTGGTGGGCAGGGGAGTGGCAGAAATGTTCAACCACATGTGGTCCATCAGGCCAGAAGAAGAGAACTGTACTTTGCATCCAGACAGTGGGATCTGATGAGCAAGCACTGGATGTCACGGAGTGCCAGCACCTGCTTAAACCAAAGACCCATCTGTCATGCAACAGAGATATCTTGTGCCCGTCTGACTGGACAGTGAGCAACTGGACTGAGGTAAATTCATGTTAGCTGAAACACTGAACTTTTTCTCAAAATTATCTATAGTAGTCAGCTGAGACGACTAACGACCAGCTGTTTTGTCTTTTTAAATTTTTTTCTAAAATACTTTTTTTATAGTTTAATGTGTTCACAGATCCTTTGTGCAGAAAGGAAAAGAAGAAAAACAACAACAAATCAGCCCTGCTTCCCAAAGACTTTAGGAAGTGTTGCATGTTAATTTGCTGAGCTTTTGGAACTGTAGAATGTAATGTGCTTACTGCTAAAGAATCTGTGTGAGAGCAATGGCTGCTGTGGGCCAGACTAGGGGGATGACTGCTGTCAACTCTGTAGGTCAACAAAGTGTTTTAAAATTCTTTACATTCATATCTCTTGCATCCAGACTCTGCCTTTCTCCCACAGCTTTGCGAACATATGGGAATTGTTCAGATCTGCACCAGGAGAGGTTCAGGTTGGACACTGGGAAGCATTTCTCTTCTAGGAGGGTGGTCAAACCCTGGAACAGGCTGCCTAGAGAGGTGTTCAATGTCCCCAGCCTGTCGGTGTTTAAGAGAGCATTTGGACAGTGCTCTTAACAGCATGCCTTGACTTTTGCTCACCCATGAAGTGCTTAGGCAGTTGGATTGTTGAAGGTCCCTTCCAGCTGTAAATACTATCTTCCCTTCTTTTTTGAAAACTTCACTCTCATCTTTCTCCTCAGTCTTTGTTTTTATTAGTCTTACTGCTATGAGAACAAAGTCACATACTGTACTAAAAAATCTTGTGACTGTATTGGATTGGTTATGCTCACAAACCATCCTCACAGAAGGTTGTTTGTTTTGTTAACTGAGTAACCCCCATGCTTTAAATACCTGTGAAAAAATAGATTGAATTTACATGACTAGCAGTACAATTATATAGGAATGGCACACTGCTTGTGCTCATGTACTGGTGGATTATATTTACAACTTACTGACAAAAATGCATTTTTACACCTTCAGAAACTGGAGAGTGAGTGTAGGACAAGTATTTCACCTGCAAAAATGGCAGGAGCTGATGAACCTGTCTACTGTGAAACAACACTGGTTGCTTTCCTGTTCCTGTTGCTGTAGAGCTGATGTTATTTTACAGCTGTGAACAACAGAGTGCTCCAGCAACACAAAGTCACTGGTGTTTCTACTGCCCTGTGACCCAGACTAGCTCTAAAATGAGTTAAATGTGCCAGGGGCAATAAAGTCCTGGCAAAAGGAGAGTTTATCACTTCATGTTGAGCACCTGGTTAGGCTTCCCTGCTTCCTAAGAAGAATTCTACCTGTAGGTTTTTTTGTAGCATCTTCGCTCCTACTCAACTAGTCATCCAGCCTTAGTATCTCCAACCAGAGAAGTGCGATTTTACAAGGTCCTTAGTTGCAGGACAGCTGCTGAAGGCATGGCTGTACCTGTGGGCCTGAGGATGAAAAACATCACAGAAAAGCTGGGTCTCCTTAGCTGCAGCACTCTATACACAGCAGTGCTCTCATTTAATTAGAAGCCAGGTTGGCTAAATAGTTTTAGCAATCTCTAATTGAGGACAGACATGCTAGTAGCTCTGGCAGCAGTTCATGCTTGTACTATGACTGAATGAAAAATCAATCTCATAAAGTCAGCAAGGGTCTGTGAGCTGCGTGGATCACCACAGCAGGTTTATGGCACTGTGAGCAGCATTGAGCCAGTCAGGTGTGTGTTCAATTCCAGGTTCAATCTGATGGAAAAGGTATTGACTAAATAACATTGTGAGTCAATGAAGAAGTCAAATTCTATCATATTACTTTAATGTTTTGTCTTTATCATGTAGGTTTTTTTCTCACTACTATTTCCCCAAGGTGACATTTACTGTCAAAAAATTTGGAAATAACTCCATGGTAGCAGAACATCACTAGAATGAGAGGCTTGTTCTTCAGGAAAAGCGTTGTAATTGATTTTTTGTCATGATGTTTCTTTATTATAAACAAACGTCATCTGATACTTCTGTGCAGGGGAAATACATTAATTCTGTTTCATTTGCAGTGCACAGTCACTTGTGGTGGTGGAATAAGGACTCGTAATGTCACTTGTGCCAAAAATAATGATGAGCCATGTGATAGTTCCAAGAGACCAAACTCTAAGGCCCTATGTGGTCTTCAGCAATGCCCTTCTGCTGGAAGATTTCTGATTCCCCCACAGGCACCCAGAAGAGGCAAGATCATAATCAGAAAAACAACTGCCAATCCTGAGTGGAGCCTTCCTCACAGAATACCCAGACCAAACCCCAGGTTCCATACTACAACAAAAATACCCAAGCATGAAAGCGTAACTCCCTGTTTGCCTACGTCCTCTGTTTTGGTCAATGTCTCAAGAAAAGAGGGAGCAGCCAACAGGACAGTACAAAGTAATTTTGCTGAATCAGGTGATGTTTACAATTACCCAATTGTTTCTACTGAAAATAGCTCATATCAAAATAGCACTTCATGGCCTTTTCATAACAGCTTAAGTACTGAAAATATAAGGCATGCTGAAAACACTTCTAAAAGTGAGCCAGTTTTTACTGCAGAGAATGAGATGCAAATAAGTGAAGACACTCCTGTTTCCTCTTCTACCAGTAATCCAGAAATAACTTCCAGCTATGATTACTTAACTGAGGAATCTGACAACACTGATGGGCCACTTGGAGTCAGCAAGAAAACAGCTGATCTCTTTTACAGCACAGAACTCAATCCTGAAATCAGGACCAGAAGCACAACCTTGGGCACTACTTCTCCTGTCACTCAGAGTGAGAGTATGACTTCTCAGACCCCACCAGCATCTCATCAGCGAGACTTTTCTGTGCTCAATCCTATAAGCGGAGCAGAACAAGAGCTGGTGTTTCCAACAGCAGCAAACTATGTCAGTCTGCAAGTTGATGTGCCTGTTGTAGAAGTAACAACCCCACAACCACTAGTTACAGAAATGCCTACAGAGCTTGGTTGTGCACCAAGAGACCAGACTGACAGCAGAGAAGAAATAAAGCTGCCTGACACCATAACCACTAGCACACGATCCTCAGCTCCCAAGCATACTCTGAACAACCAAAGTGCAGCATCTGAGGTTGTTTTAATGAATGTCACAGACAGCAGCCACGTAATAACATCCAACAGTTTGCCCAGTGATGCCTACTGGATAGTAGGCAACTGGAGTGAGGTAAGTTATTTTTTGCTCATAAGAAGCGGAGAGTGTGAACAGCAGTCTGGAACACTGCTGTGGAAATGGAGTTTCTTAATTTGTCACAATTATCTGAAATCAGTATTGTACATATGAAAAACTTACCACAAAAACCCCCCCAAAAAAAAGGTAACTTGGGATACCTAAGATTAGCTTGCTTACAGAGAATGAATATAGTCATCATGGGTGCTTGGCCGTAATTTACCAATTTCTATTTAATACCCTTCCAACTGTAAAGTTTTATTTTTCTGTAAACAGAGTTCCTTTTATGCTAATGGAATTTATATTCTTGAACTCATAGATACCTGGAAGTGAGAGCTGTTGGTGTCTGAACTAATCATCTCATTTTTGTTGGCCTTTTTTCCAAGCTAAAGAGGGTCAGATCTGGAAAACCTCCTAGTGCTGATCTGCCTCTGTCTCAGTACTGATGGAGAATGCTATCCAAGTTCTGTTTCTGTGCACCAGTTTGCTCTTGGGTCTGCTGGGAATGATTCACAATCACAGAAATGCAGAAATTCAGGGCCAAAAAGGATAGCATGAGATTACTAAGTGTATCTCATATCACTGGAGGCATATCTAGACCCCTGAGATGGTGCTGGATGCAGACAGTGGGTAAGATCCCTGCTTTGTCCTCAGTGCACCAGCACTTGTTCAGGACATGTACTAATGGCAATTTGAGCTTTCATCTTATGCATTCCTGTGGCCAGCTTAGAATGGCCTTAGCTTCCCATGTTCTAGTAGGATAGGTGAATCATTCCCTCCTGCACATATCCCTGTAAGAGAAGACCTGCTTTTAGATCTGCTTGAGTGCAAGACCCTAAAAGAGAAGATCAAGGGAATGGTTGTGGCCCCAAGTTCCCACAGCCTGAGCAAAGGTGTCTCAGAGATTAAATGAATCAGAGATGCTACTGTTCTACTCATTTATTACCCATCTTGAAATATTTTCCTTCTACATAACAAACATCGTCCATACTGAAAATGAGGATTCTCTTTTCTTATGTGCAGTCTGTGGAGGAAAATTATCTTCGTAATAACTCTTTTGGGGTCTGACATCTAAATTCTTTTGAGATTCTCCTTGTGTTCTCTAAATACCTGAGGATTTCATTTTTCTTGTCTGATCTTGCTTCAGTTTCATCACATATTTTTTGTCAATGATGTTCATTGTGGTCCCAGTGGACACATAGCATATAAAATCAACTCATTATTACCATTTTATGTATTACCCTCTTTGTGAATGCAGAAATGAGATTTGTCTTGTTTTGTAACCATCTCGCTTTGATATATTCAATTTGTGGTTCATAGTAAATGCTGGATCCCTATTACAGTATTTCTAAATCTGAGAAAGTTCTCAGTTGCATTTTGGAGCTATGTGTTTATGTGTGTTTGTGTGTGTGAAAATAAATATATATATGTGTGTGTGTGGGTGTATGTTTGTGTATGCATAAAAAGTTTTCCCTAAATGTAGTATTTTGTATCCATTTTTTAATTTCAGGCTACTGCTTTCTTACAGTTTCCATTGTGGTGAGATGTCATTTAATTCAGATTTCAACATTCCTGCCTACTCTCCAAGCTTGTCATCGTCTTCAAATGCCTTAAATGCATGTTGTCTTTCCTCATTCAGTTAGTTACTGAAAATGCTGAAGAGAGCCTGGCTTTGGAGCCTTGTAGAACCATATTTGAAATGTCTGTTCATTTTGACATTGAATAAGTGAGACCACTCTATTACAGTTTTTCAGTTAGTTGAACACTAATCTTGTAATTATTTCACCTAAACTGTATTTATATTTGCTTTAAAAATGCTTTGCAGGATCATGTAAAAATGCATCACAACAGCCACCTCCTTATTTTCATTAAGCCATGTTCCCCTGTCAGAAAAAGTTATTAGACTCAATTGAATTATTTCTTCTAGATGGGTCCATGTGAGCTTTTTGATTGCATTATCATCTTTGTTAATATTTGCCATTTTGGTCTTGATTGTTTAATAATTTGGTTTTTACCTTGTGAAGTGTGCTTGGGTGAAGCATTCCATTAGACCACAGATAGGATTTTTTATTTTCCTAGTGATAAATTGGAAGATATTCTTATTTAATCCTCTGGATCTTCTCCAATCTATTATAAAAATTGATTTTCAACAGTTCAAAGATTATTGAATGAACAGTTTAATGAATATAGAGATAAAGTTAATACATTTGGTTTCACAGAACTGATGAAGTCAATTTGAAGATACTTAATGCATCTAACTTTGTTATTCTTTAATAATTTAGTAGTTTTTTGCTACTCCCATGCAAGCTGTTGTTTCTTGTTAAAATAAATTTTATGGGAAGTGTGGCACATTGAACTTCATTTTTCAAATTTGAATAAGTGATGAAAAAGAGAATTTTTGGAGTCTCCATCATTGGAGATACTCTGAAGCTGTCTGGACATGGTTCTGGGAAGTTGCCTCTAGGTCCCCTACTTGAGCAAAGGTCCTTTCCAATTACAGCCATTCCATGGGTCTATTAATAAAGTCAGCTATTCTCATTTGCATTAAATAAAAGTTATCTATTTCACATACACACCTTGAGTCTGACATTCACAGAACCTTTTCTTTTTGTTCATTACTTTTAATTAATTTTCAATCTGTAGTTTTCTGACTTTTTGCTCTGACTATTTTTGCTCTGTTTGCCCATCCTTAGTAAAACTTTGAATCTGTTTCTAGATGACATCTCTCCAAGGCATTGGTAGTTCAAGACCACTGCACCTACCCTGATGAATATCTTGCTGTGCTCTTTCTCTTTTAGTAGCTGTCAGTATTTTGACATTGCTTTACTCTGTAGGAGATGTCCATACTAGTAAATAAATAGTGCCAAGAGCAGTGATAGTCACTGAGGTGGAAAGGTGTGGCATGTCCCATAAGAGGGTTGGCACTTGTCCCCTCAAGGGAGAGCACTAATTTGAGTAGGGCAAAACAGTGCCCATTTCCACCAGTGCTTGTCTGTAAATTTTACTTCTTTCCTACTAATTTCCAGGCTATTCTGGGCTGTCACTTCTCTTTCTAAGAGCTTTCTGGGTAGCAAAGATACTCTATTACCACGAGATCATCTCACTCTAATATTGGTCATCTCATTCTTCTATTGGTCATGTAAAGTCACCTGCACTTTCTCCCTCTGTGCCCAACATCTACTGTGCCAAGAGGAAATTTTGGTTCCCAAATGACAAAAGGAAAAGCAGTATGTCTTCAGAAACTTACTGAGCATCAAATTACAGACAAGAAAGCTAAGGCTTTATTCTGAAACCATTTGAGGTATCATGCCTTTCTCTCTTGACCCTGTGCCTGCACACAACAAGGTTTGAAAAAATCCTGGTGTTTCACTTTCCTCAGACAAGAACATAAATCTTTCTCAGTGTGATCTGTCCAGCATCATCCACGGAGTCACCTTTGCTCTTCTCATGTGTGCTCAGAAAGGGGCTTCATTCAAAGACTTAAGCATCCCTTTAGTGAAGTCTTGGTGTTGTCACACTGGTGTGGCAAAGCTGGGGAAAGGCATCAAGCCATCAGAAAGCAAGACAAGGGCAGTCTCTCAGACAGAAAAGTTGCCTTGGGTAAGTGTGTCACTAGGCAAAACAGAGCAGTGGTATGCAGTTTCCTTTAATAAGACCTTTGTGGCCACTTGGACACACATCCTGGGAATTGCCATGGGATCAAACATCTCCAGTGTTGACTTTTTTTCCTGCCTTAGCTTCAAGTTTCCTTATTTTTCCAAGGACACCTACTCAGCATTCTGCATTTAACTTTCCCACTGCCATGCAGGGAGTTCAAACCAGACAAACCTGCTTGCTCTTTTCATTATTTTGCTTGGATTAAGTCTAATCCAAGATTATGGCTGTTTCTCATGCCAGCTACACGCTGCTTAGTGTTGTTCAGTTTGGCTCTACATGTATAGCTCACTGACCCACCCTTTTTAAGGCAGAAAAAGGTAAATGGGTGTCTCCAACCACTTTTCAACCCCTCCTGCTTCAGAATACAATGACAGTGTTTGGGGTTTTTTGTGAGGAGTTTGCACTCTTGGGATATGGCTTGGAATAATCAATATTCTCTTTCCTCGAAAGAGACACAAAAATCCTCACAGATGCTGAAAACACTCAGCCACTTCCTGATGTAGAGAAACATTTTCCTGTACAGTTTTCTTAAGATTCTCACATATTTAAGATTTTCAGCATCATGCACTCAATTAGCTGACTCTTTTATCAGCAGTGTTAGGGGTAGAGAGGGAGCATGCTGAAGATTGGATGCAATTCCATTTTACTTTGGATCCCCAAAGATAGTAGAAGAAAACAGGAACAGCTGGTACAGATTTAGAATGTCTTGGTAAGCAGGAGTTTGCCAAAGAAAATAAGTGCATAGTATAAATCAGGATTGGTATTGTCTTAAGAAACCAAAGAAAGCCCTTGTTCAGAATATTAAGTAAAATATGGGTGAATTTCAAATCTTCTTTCAGGTATCTCCAATAACATATGTCATCTAAAAGGGCTCTAGATATTTATATTTAGGTTCCAGGATTGTTTCCAGAATTATATACTAATGTTGAGCTTGCCCCTGGGCTTTCCTCTTGTCCTTGTGCAGTGCTCTACGACCTGTGGAATGGGGGCTTTCTGGAGACATGTGGAGTGCAGCAGCAGGAATATATCTCACTGTCAGAACATGAAAAAGCCTGATTCTGCAAGGAGATGTTATCTCCGCCCATGTGCTAGCTGGAAAACAGGAAATTGGAGCAAGGTAACTTCATTCAGAGCTGTGTATGAACAGTAAGCTTGCACATTTCAGTGGGTATGAAACTCTAAATATTTCATTTTTAAAACAATTATTTACTCAGTGAATGCATGAATTATTCCCAGTTGACCATTCAGCACTAATTTACTAATTTCCTGACCAAGTTATATCTGGAAAGACATCTGCTGTGAATTTTGTCCTTCCTGTGGTGGGTTGTGCTCATAATTCTTGCATCTAGAGCAAGCAGGACTCACTGCTCCTGTTCTATGGAGCTGACGGGGCAAAGCTGTACATAGTTGTTTGTGCCATCTTTTTAATCTCTGCCTCCAGGGATATAGCCTAATTTTAAGGAGCATTGGGAATTTGGGAAAGGGAGTTGTCATGTTCCTACTCACCCTTGTCACCATGTACTGTCTCTTGACATGGTTTATTCCCCATTCACATAACCTCAAAGTCTGCTATGTGTAGGATTCGCTTTGGTCCTAGTTTCATACCCATATCCTGTTCAAGAGACAGAAGAGTGTCCAGGGGTGCTAAGTGGAGCCCAAAGAATTGTGCTTGAGTCCCATTTTGATATTTTAAGCTGTGTGAAGAACACCTGGAAGGACTTAGGTGACTTCTTGAAGCTGATTATATTTTGTCTTCATGCAGTCTGAAAATTGAGTTTCAAACCACAGGTTGTTTTTCAAGACTAAAAGGAGATAATCTACAAAATTCTGTTTAAAATATTGTTAGTTTAATAAGGAAAAAGGTAAGTGTCTCAAATATTTCCAATACAGATCATTTCTGTGGACAATGTTGTTGCCATTGGGCTAGAGGGCAGATTGATATAAATAAAAGGTTATAGTTACAAAACCTGTGTTATTATTGAGCTCTTAGGCATAAAATTGATTTGAACTGGAATTACATGCCTCTTTAGAAAGTTCAGGAAAGGCCAAGGCTTTACATAACTACATTTAAGCCTTTGAAATTAATTTTAAGAGATACATAGACATCCTGCCCTCCCAGCTGCAGTGGGCAATTTCACCTTCACTTTTTCTTCATAAATGTCATTGCTCTTGCAACAGGTGAATGATGGTTATGTCACAAAAAATAGTAGGCAAACAGGTTTAATGATGAAATATAACAGGAAGCAAATTTTTTTAAATGTCAAACCAGTTATGAAACACATTTGAGGCAGGAGGCTTCTCCTATCAGATTTGTGTTACCTGTCATTTTTTCCATCAAGTGAACTGTACAAACTTAATTACAGTTTAATGTATTAAAAAAGGTTAAATTTTGCTTGTTTTAAAGTGGCAATTGTTTTTGGTTACTCATTTCAAACATTTTGAAGATATGTTGTCACAGCAAGATGTCTGGCTTCCCTGCTAGTGCAGTAGAGCTTTTTCTGTTTTCTACTCTGATTTAATTTTTCCTCTCCCCTAATAGAAAGGTGCTTCAGACTAAATCTTAGAATCTGTGTTTAACACCAATATAATTTGCGTATATCTTGAGACTGTTGTACTCAGTTTCTTACAGAGTCACTTCTGTCCACTGTTTCTATCCAGAGAGACAAAAACCTGTCTTGTGAGAGTAAGGATTTCCTTTCCATCCATTCTTCACCCCATAGGGGAGGTATTACATTCAGATTCCTTGCTCAACTAAAGGATGCTTATTTATGCAAAGGAAAACAGCATTAGTTGCTATTGCATCATAGTGGTAAAGGTGAGAGGTGATTTGAGGAGCTTTCAGTGGTGCAGCTGGAATTGGCTTTAATTCTGCTTAAAGACAAAACGTGAATTTTTCTTTATCCCTGGGGTAGCAAATTCAGTTCTTCCTCAAGAGCAGGAAAGGTCCTAAATTTTGTTGCCAGGACCTGGTGATGCTGCATGAGGCTTGGAAGAAGTTCTGGCTAGAAAAAGGAGACTGGAAGGGTTCACTTAGCTCCTCAGCAGAGCTCTAAGCTGGGCAGTGATTTCACAGGCTTTGAGTCTCAGAGTGGCTCTCTCTTCCCTCCCACCTTCTCAAACTGAGGCTGCTCTTGGGGTATGAATTCTCCTGGTGCCTTGGAGGTGCATGGAAGGAAGATGAGGGTGGGAACTACTACTCACTGCCTTCCTCTCTCTGAAGCAACTAAAGAATTGACAATATTCTTGCATACAGAATCTATTTTTGTATTTATTGCATTATGACTCTTTCACTATGACATTATTTGGAAATGGCTGGCAAGACTTGCCAATTAAATATTTTTCCATATTATTAATGGCCATAGCAGTTTAGCAGAGGAAGTACTTACATGGCATGTTCCAGGCTGCTGCGGGAAAAGCCACAGTGTTTAAGACTCACAACAGATTGGTGTTACAGTAAACTGGAAATTCCTACTATTCAGGATGCTCAAAGCTCAGGCTGTACTCCTGTTCTTTGCCTGGGGAAGGTACAGCCCTTCAGTGGGGCTCATCATGTGGAGATGTGCCCCTCTCTGTTTTGTGTACAGTGCTCTGTGAACTGCAGCGGAGGCTTCAAGACCCGAGATGTTCACTGCATTGATGTTGGGGAAAAGCGGCTGCTCAAGCCTTTCCACTGCCAGTTACTCGGCTATAAACCACAGCTCAACACTAGCTGTAACACAGAACCTTGCTTGCAATGGCGTCTGGAGCCCTGGAGTGAGGTACTGTTCTTTGAAAGAGGCTTTGTGAGTCAGCAGTTGCCTTTCAGGTAACAGCAGCTGTTGGATCCCATGCTGTGAGGTAAAATTGTGCTCCAAGGAAGACACACAGCTGGTGAGTTATTTTGCATGGCTACAGCAAAAATTACAACAGGTGTTCATAAGGCTTCACAGAATCATTCTTAGGATTGAGTGTGATTTACAGCTGGAGCTCTAAATTTCCATGTCCTGAAAGGGAGAAGCAGATGGTCTGGAAGAAAATTTGTTGTAGCTATCCTTATTGGATCGGTAAATGTGGTTCATTTAGATGAATCCTTTTTGCTGCTGTTTTAATGTTGCCTTCTCATTATGGCAAATTTATACGCTTTTGGACTGAAATTTTATGGAGCTTAAACCAGAAATAAGATAAATCTGACTTTTGGGTCCCTTTATAATGTAAATCTGTACCAACAAACTTAGAGGCAGCCAGACACATATTTATGTCAGCTAAAGCATGTGGCCTGATTATATCTTAGAATTTAACCCCACTGAAAGCAGTGCTGGAGAAAGTGGCACGATGTTTGCAGCCCTGTGGACCTAATGCTTTGGGCTTTTAAGGGAGGTGATCACATTTCCTTTATGGGGCACTAATAAATCACACCTGGAGGAGGCCAGGGTGTGCTGTCAGAGCAGTTAGCAGGGGGAGGAAAAATAAAAATAATGGAATGATTGCATCTGTTTGCAGATTTAAATACTTTATAAAAACACAAGTCCAACCCTGGAAGATGTCCTCATACTAAGGACACTGGATAGAAATGGATTGAAGAGGTTCATTTATCAGATGTCAGATATATTGTTCTGTCCATAGGGATGCAATTCCTTGTAGGACAGTAACAATGCATTATCCAAAGTATATTTGATACCTTATTTAATATCAGAGTATGAAATACTTTATGTATTTCAAGCAGACTCTACTACAGACTTAGTGAAAAAATAGTAAAAAAAAATCAGTGAATAAGTAATTTTAGAATGTGGACAGAAGAATATTTTAAAAATAACTTGGGTCACTACTTTGTATGACGCTTTTACTGCCAAAGAGCTCAATTGTTGTATGGATTGAATTTTTAGTGTCCCCAACCACCTAATAAAAATGAGATGCTGCATCTTATGAATTTGTTGTGTCTTCAGTCGATGTTACAGATGAATCCTGCTGATATATGACTTCTACTCTCTTGTTAGAGATGCTGCTGATGTTGGTGATGTTGATGAGCAGTTCTCTGTTGCCTGTTCTGTGTAGCCACTCCTACTCTGCCCTGTAGTCCTTCCAGCAGTATGTGCCAGGAGAAGCTTTTCCCTGTGTAGCAGCTTCTTCTCAGTCTCCTTCCTAAGCACATGGAGGAATAAGTGTCCCAGTGCAGAGGTTTTCTTCATGTCTGGACTTCAGGATGATGCCTGTACATCTTTCTAAACCCATGGTCCTGTGACCCTGGGTTCTTGCTATCTGTGGCCCCTCATTTCTAAATTAACATGTCCAGCCATCTTTGTGGTCTGTTTCTGGTTTCTCATCCTCTCCCACCTCTGACTGTGCCCGTCTCTGCCAGTGTTCAAGGACGTGTGGTGGTGGCCAGCAGAAGCGGCACATCTCCTGCCCACGGGAAGGGCACTGTGACTGGACCAAGAGACCTGATGCCATTGCATCCTGTAACAGGCAGCCTTGCACACAGTGGATTCACCAGGCCTGGAGCCCGGTAGGATTCAGTTTATTTCTGTTTCATTTTTTGTCATGAGTTGGCCGTATTTGGTCATATTATCCACTTGTCTCTAAACCTCAGCCCCTGTGGCAAGTACGCTTCCTTATGCACAGCTGAAGCTGCAAGAGAAGAACTTCTGAAAATGTTATTGAACATTTCATAGCCAGCCCATGTCCATTCCTTCAGGTGACAGATATTGTAGCTTCTATTTTCTGTTGCTGTATTCGATGTCATTGGAAGTCTGGCATCTTTTATCTTGTCTAAGCACAAAGGAGTTTTACCATTAACATTCTTCCTCTTTGCATTTGCAATTTTCCACTGTTGGAAGGGATCAGGTGATCCTCAAAACAACTTTGGGGAATACTGTACTTGCCTACACAAAGAGAGATTCTGAATTTTGACCAATACCCTCCTACTTTGTACCTAGAAATCTTATTGATAAATGTGAGGTGTATCTTTGGGGAACTTTCCAGTATCTGCTATACATATTTATCTGTTGCTATACATGTTTATGTATAGCAGTAGAGAAATATGAATAAAATAAATATGATAAAAGAAACCTTTCCCTTCAGTTTCCTTAATAAACATTACATACATTACAAGTACTCCTCAGAGTATAATGGATTGTTGAAGGAATGCTAAAAGCAGGAGCCACAAATCAGGAAACATCGGAGTCTCATTTAACACAGGAAATTCAATGAGTTGGTTTTGACACAAAGCCATTAGATGGGACATGACTATAAGGTAATGCAGAGTCAGTGTAACACTTAAATATGGAAGTGAAGCACATAAAGTAAGTAACAGAATACCAAACATTACAGCAACTATTTTACTTATTTATTAATCCCATATTGATATATTCATTAATAATTTTACTTCATAAAAATACTTAAAACATCAATATAAAGTTGTTGCAAGAACATCAATATAAAGTTGTTGCAAGGATACCTAAGATCTTTCAGTCTACCTCACGCCAGTACTATTGTGCTTGATGTACAGAGATACACATTAGAGAGGGGATAATTTGCAGAAAAATGACAGAGGTTCCACTCCTGTCTTCATCTCTTGTACTTCATTAGCTGACATTCTCTAGCTGCTGAATTCTTTGTATTTATCTGCTGGCACTATTTATCTGTAGAGAGAAAAAACTAAAAACTAATTGGGATTCTCAGATGCTCTGGGAAGTCACAAGAATTAAGTACATTTACAGAATGGTACAGGAAGATATTTTAAAAGTGTTTGGGTTTTATGGCCTTCTGTGTGAAGCCAGAACAAGCAGCTGGCAATTATTTTGTTGTCCTAAAGAAAGGGTAACCACCTGTTTAAAATCCAGGAAAGAAACAAAACCTTATTGGGCTTGTTTTTAATTCTTTACTTGGTCATTTATAGACCTAACATTGTAATTGTTTATTCATATTTAACTTAGATAGTCAGAAAACACAGGAAGCAAAAACGATCCTAATTGGTATGAATTTGGTTTATGAGTCTCTTATATTGTAGGACTGGCATTGCAAATCATCCTTTTCCTCTGTAGAAAACAGTCCTCTTCCCCTGTTTGCACAATCCAAGATGCTGTATTTATACTATTTACCCTGTACTGTATCCTTCCAAATCTGGCCAAAATGCAGCATGGAGGTGTCTGGATGGAGCATACTACACAGAGTACTGTAATGCCATTGCTTCTGGATCACATGCCAATATTAGCTTCCTGTCACATCACAGCTCAAATATTGCCATTTTACAAAATTTCCATGTAAAAAAAAAATTTACATATTGTTAAAATTACTCTTTCAGTGTGCTGTTTCTTGTGGAGGGGGCATTCAGCAGAGAGTTGTGAGATGCATGAATACAGAAACCAATGAAACTGAAGATGACAGTATGTGTGTGGATAAAGCCAAGCCCACAAAATATCAGAAATGCCATCTGCAAGAGTGCAGGAAAAATACAGGTAGAGTAATACACATGCAGTTTTCTCCATTTCTGCTGAGATTCTGCAAAAACTGAGATCTGACTCAGTCTATCAACTTCTTTTGAGTAGTGTGAGCTCAGTAATTACAGGTCACCCTGACCTGCTACTGCTCAGTTGCTCTATTGGCAGAACCACACTGTTGTCTCTTCCAGCACTTCTGGCCTTGTGTTGCCATGATGAGGACTGCAGTCTCTGAGCATTCATCCCTAATTTATGACAACACAACTAAATTAGTAGGGTTGCTTGTATTGGCCTGTTTTAGGTAACTCAGAGTGCAGTCAGGACTGGGAAGGACACACAGTGAGTCCAAACAGATGCCATTTCTTAAGATAGATCCCTCTGTGGAAGCTGTAAATTCTGGACTGGGAATGCAAACAAATTCTTACAGACACTGAAAAAAATCAGTGGCCCACAGGGTGGGACTGTCCAAAATCAGGAGGATTTTGAGAGAAGTGCTCTTGTGAGTCAGGGTGTCCTTCAAAAGACCCAGGAGCCCAGCTGTGTACATGGTTAATAGCCAAAAAAAAGAGGCATCAGGGGAAGTGGGAAGCTTACAGAAGGAGTAACATCTTTATGAGCAGTCTGTGTACTGCTGTATCCAGGAAGTACCCTCAGATAAGAAGAGCAACATCTCACAGCCCTTCTAGAAAAACTTTCATAAGCCTTTTGGAGGATGATCTTCCCTATTAGTCAGTGGTAAGGGTCTAATTTGACAGTGAGAGAATGGTTTGTATCTGGAGGGCAGTGCAGATGTGACATGCTCTTTAGAGTGATGCATCACTCCTGCTGCAGTTCAAATAATTTTAGCATGTGTTTTGCCCTGGGTTGGATTGGTCTTCTCATTTCCTGTCCCTCTCCTGTTCAGAAAGACAAACTCAAATAAAGACTGCCTACACATATTAGTAATAGTTACTTCTGTGAATATAAGCTCAAGTGGCCCATGAAACATAATAAATGCCCTACTGAGTAAGCACTAGTCCATGCAGCCCACCCTTATGGCTCCAACAACAGCATTAAAAAATGCTACTTAGCAGGAATGCAGGAGGTTGCTTGCTTTCCTGAGATTCATTTCCATGATAGTCCTCCGGCATTTCCAGCTGATGTATATTGGGCTATTAAAAGTTTTCCATGTAGTGCCTTTTTATTTAAACTTTCATTAATACGTTGCAACTCTTTTTGATGCTGTCGTGCTGTCTGCTTCCACCCTCTCCTGTGGCAGAAAGTTCACAGAACAATGGCATCGTCAAGGCTGGAAGAGACTCTCAAGACTATCCAGTCCAACCATCCACACAGCAGTGCTACTGCAACCCCTGAACCACTAAAACACATCACCCAGTGTCAGATCCAGATGCCTCTTAAGCACCACCAGGAATGGTGACTCCACCACCTCCCTGAGCAGCCTGTTCAATGCCTGACCACCCTAACAGTGAAAAAATGTTTTCTAAACATTGTCTCAGCTTCAGGCCGTTTCCTCTTGTCCTCTCACTGTAGGTGGAGCAAGATAGGCTGACCATCACCTCACTACAGCCTCCTTTCAGGTAGCTGTACAAACCTGTAGTCCCCTGGATCATCCTTCTGACTCTCCTGTAGGTGGGAATTTCCAGACAGCTGGAACTTCTCCAGTTAGCCAAGATTGCTGGTAGGTGATTGAGAGTGGTTTGACAAGTTCTCTCACCAGTTTCCTCATTACTCTGGGGTGAGTCCCATCTGGGCCCATACACTTGTGAGTGTCTTAACTGGCAAAACATGTCCCTAACCATCTCCTCCTGGATTATGGAAGCTTTGCTTTGCTTCCCATCCCTAACTTCTAGCACAGAGGGCTGGATATCCTGGGGGCAGACTTTCTGTCACAGCCTGGTGTGAAAAAAAATGCTTTCATCTGTTTTAAACTACCTTTATACAAGTTTTCACTGAGTTTCCCCCATTGCAGTGTTGAGAGATTTGCTGGAGAACAGCCCTGCTAATATACCATCTTCCTTCTATTGCACACCTTGTCTTCTTGCAGCTGAGAAACTCCAAGTTCTAATATCTGGCTAAAATCTGTCCCGTCTCAGTTCATTAGAGCTACCACAGACCTATTAGCATGGTATAGACAGCAGCAGTCAGTCCCTGCCATGTTCTGATGCTGCAGCAGTTAAAGCATAGCCAAGCTGAACATGCAGTTTTATGTCCATTGTCTATGCTCTCCTGCCTGCCCTGGCTGGCTGTGCAGCACCCTGCCAGCCCATGCTACTCATCTTAGGGGCAGTTACAAGAATAAATTATTGCCAAGTTTTCTCTAGCAGTTCTTGTCAGCAGAAAAGTCAGTGTGGAAAACATACATCAGCTGTGTCTGCCACAAAAGTAAAGTCCCCCTGAACAGTCATGAGTGCTGTGTTTTCCAGAACAGAAGGTCATGTGTTCACTAAAAGATCCTAGAATTTCAGTGGGAGGTCAAGCTGACCCATAATACAAGGGAAGAGAAAGCCACCATAAATAAGATCCTTAACAGACATCACAATCTGGCATGAAGCAGTTCAAAATTCTAGAAATACATGGGGTGTGCCAGCAAAATATGGCTAATTCTTGTCATCTTCTTCACTACAGGGCTGCCCTGCAGCAAGGACCAGCTGTCAGTTCACTTCTGCCAGAGGCTGAAAGGTATTGGCAAGTGCTTGCTGCCATCAATACAGACTCAGTGCTGCTTCACGTGTAGTCAGCCCCGAATTCGGAACAAAGCAAGACATGGGGACCAGCGAGCCTTCAAACAACAAAATTACACTAAATCTAGAAGAAAACCTCAAAACTAAGAAAATAACAACCAAACAGCTTGGCACTAGCTGGTTTTTTTTTCTTGTTTCCTTGAATAGAGCATCTGTTTACAGGTTTTATGTTCCTTATTTTTTTCTGAACCATCCAGCATAAATGGAAATCTGTGATCAAAACTGGGAAAGCACATTGCCTATGGTTATCAGTCATAATTTACTGTTTCCATTTTTTCTCTGTAATAGTCCAAAATTTATAACATAATTTTCAATGTACCAGCAGCTAGTACTACTTAGGCATGCGTAGACACTAGAAACAGGCTTGCAAGAATTTTCTGATTTTTTGTAATTAATGCTTAACTTGTTCTTCCATCTCTTTTCCAAAACCCACTTGAAACACCAGCACTGCTTACTCAAGAGTGCTTAGTGAAGGTAGTCCTTGGGGCAACAGACATGTACCTGTGCCATGGGCCAATTCTCTTCATGCTCTCTTGCCTTTCTTTTTTAGGAATCAAGGTGAAGTGGCAGTGTTTCTCTAAATTCATTACTCAGTTAGGAAACTTAGAAACAGAGTTTTGTAATATCTTATGCTTATGATAGGCAGGATGAATTGGAACATTGTTTTTTTTCAGGAGAAAAACCTTTGCTTAGTACTTGACTGAATCTCTAAGGGCTACCTCAGCCGTAACCCGTTCTTGACAATTTTCTTCTGCTACAAATGTCTTGCTGTAGCCTGAAAAGCCCATAAAATGTGGGCTATTAAGTTCCCAAATATGTTTTAAGCAGCATTTCTTGGTAAATGAAAAAAGCCATTTGCATCTACCACCTTAGTAGTCATAGAATCATTTAGGTTGGAAAAGACCTTTAAGATCAACAATTCCAACATCTAACCTCTAACCCAGCAGTGCAAAGTCCACCACTAAACCATACTCCTAAGTGCCTTATCTATCTGTATATTTTACACATTTAGGGGAAAAACCAGCAAAATCTTTCAGACAGTTTTATACATTCCATCTGATTGAACAGATGAACAATTTCAGTATAAAGAAAAATTTTAAATTAACTATCCAAGGCCATTTGAAATTAGATGAGGCAACCAGCTAAAGACTATGGCCAGTCTCTATAGCTGCAGGTATTCAACACAAGTGATACATGTCAGGAGGACATATAAAGCTGTCAGGAAACTTATACAGCATAAAGGTTGTTCTGCAGCAAAAATTTAACCTCAGAACTTACCCTTTGGAAAAAGTGGTGTTCTCTCTCTCGACTTCCCACTTCCACCAGTTTTATATTAGTGGTCAGCTATATTTAGTTCAAGAGCTGCTGAACAGAGGAACCAGGAACCTTCACTGTATTGGTTTCCACTCTTTACAGCGCAAAGAGTAAAGGAGTCACATAGTGAGAAAGCAAAAGATTTAAGTCTAAGCTAATGTAGGCAAGGACAATTGGAAGTTGAGTCTTTTGCATTTAAAAACTGAAATATTTCTGGTTTTTGACAAATGAAAAAAAAAGGAAGAAGCAATGAACTGGCCCAACAAAACAATTTTGCTAATAGCATGTTAACCTATGTGGTGGAATTCAACTTGACAGACTTAAACTTTTCCTGAAGCTTCAAGTGTGGCACGCAGGCATTTTAGCTGGAAATTACCCATACTACATTTTAAAATCAATTTTACACCATCAGCAAAAAGGCCAACTAGCATCTGGAAACACTGTAGTTCACACAGATGTTCAGTGGTAGAGCTATCTTGTCATCCAGTATCTCCCAGTAGAGCATAAGTGCCCATTCACAGAAGCACTCTGCCACCTCACTCACAGCAGACATCTCCTACAGTGCAAATCCATAATCATTGTGGAACTGAGGGCTCCTGGGACAGGAATCTGAGGCCCATAAGAGTATCTGCATACCTTTGGCCTCAGGCATGACAGCATCACTCGCCAAATAGCATTACTGTTTTTCTAGTGAAGAACATGCTACAACAACCTTCAGGGAGCCAAGACCAGATCTTTGGAACAGAGCTGGGCATTTGGGCATTTTGAAAAGGGCTGGACAAGAGCAGACATTAGATTCCTTTGGAATTCTGTAGAATTTGGACACCTTAGTTCTTCTGGCTTTTTCCAAAATCTCAGATTTGCACCCTACTTACCTTACAATTTCAGGTTATAGTACAGGGAAATGCACATTTTATGCAGTGTACGGTGAGACACATGGTCATGAATCTAAGTGTCACTGTGGTTACAGATCTATGACTAGCAGTAGCTTTTTTTCAAGACAGACCTTTATGAAAGTTAATAGAAGTATTTCAGCCTGGCTATTATGTATTAACTTAATGATGGCCACGAGTCAAATTGTCATTTTTCAAAGGTTTGTGTCCTTTGGCTTAGGACTTACTTCTTCACTTGAAGTCTCTGGGAGTTCAAAATATGCAGCATAGTAAGGTTAGATTTATTAACCTCTCTGATGGCAATATAACGCCAGTTTTAGGTGCTGATAAAACAAAATCCACTGTTAAAAGTGTGGTGCTAGGTTAACAGATATGGGGATGACTTGCAATGGTGCATGTGTGTACATGCACACATTCTTACAATTATATATGTCCGTGGTATTGCTGGTCAATGCCAGACATGATGCTTTTTAAGTTTCAAGTTTGCTTCTGTCCTTCTGGGGACCCTTTGAGCAATGGAATTCTGGGCAGTTCTTACTCCTCTGGACACAGAAGTACTGAATTGTGTGCAGGAGCAGAGGTGTCATGCCTGATTCAGGAAGGATTTGGGCAAGGCTTGGGCTCAAGCTGTGTGGCGTAGAGAGTTCCCTGACAGCCAAACAACCTGGATTGGTGGGCAGTGCAGGTGCTCCTCCTCACATTCCCAGAAGCATTCTATGGGATTTGGATGGGACAAAGTTCCTGGTCAAAGTAATCTGTGCATAGGGTACCTGCATAACATTTTATTCACAGACGTCAGCAGAAGGAGGCCACCAGGTATTTGGGCTAATGAGAAAGGAGCTGACTGAGTGGATGTGGTGTAGGTTACAGAAAAATGCCTGCAGGAGTTGTCCTTTCCAGTGCTCCTTAGGGCTAGTATGGAGTTAAACATTTCTGCCTTCATTGTTTTCTTCAGGGAGCTGTTATTTCATTTGAAATTAATAAGGAGTGAATAAATTATATTATGGATATTAGTCAGAATAATCATTCTACCCAGGGAAATGTAGTCATTACTGTTTCTCAGCTTAAAACTTTAGGGAAAATATAGTGACAACCGTTTTAACAGAGCAGTGCCACTGCTGTTACAATACAACTGTTCTTAAGTAAAGGTGGATTTATGATGTGAACCTAGAAGGTCATTAGTCTCAAAACTGAATTGAATACTAAGGGCAGAGGTGTATTGTCATTATATTATCATATTAGCCCAAGACACATCAGCTTCAACAGATTGCTCAGGAAAAAAATGTATATTTTTCACCTTCACAGCTTGTTCTAACATTTCAAAGTTTAAAAAGCAAACTATGATGGCATATTTGATTCAAGTTTCAATAAATGGCATTGCATATGTTTGATGTCTCTGGTATTTTATGTTTGCAGTGCAAGAAGATTGATACAATAGAATTTTCACAAAAAAACAAAAGCTTTATAAATATATTTTATATGCCAGGAGTCCCATCACTGAATTGTTTGGGTGCTTGATACTCCAGCATAAAAAAAAAAATTAAAATGGGTGAGAGGAAAAAAGTAGAATAGGCCATGGTGCTAAGTAAAAATATACACTAAAAGGATTCATTACTTCCTATGAAATAGAGGAAATCTTACCACCTCTTAAGCAGATATGTCTTAATTTGTTGGCAGCAAGTGAGAGTGTCTGTCGTGTCTATTGAAGAGATGTATATAATATTACCATGCCCCTTGCCCTACACCCTGAATCTTCCCAAAACTCAAGTTTTGCCAGTCCTGCTGGTGCTTACGCCCAGAAACTTGATCAGTCCAGCCCTGATCCTTAACATGCTGCCAAGGAGCAAAGTTAGGCTCTGGCAGAGAGCACCACCAATTCTCACTCTGTTCCCAGACTCCACCCCATGCCTCCATGCATGGGCTTAGCCTCACAACACCCTGTGAAGTCGCGGGAACTTGCTCCTTTTTACTTTAGAAAGTGCAGCCCACAGGGACAGCACCCTCACAGGTGCTCTAAGGGAGAGGGTTGAACTGATCTGAGGAGTGAGTGGAAGCTCCCTCTGCTTTGCCAAGTCCAACACGCATTCCTGGATGACCCAGTGCTCAGCACAGCCTGACGAGCAGATCCTGTGGTTGCTGCACTGCCTGGCATAGCTTGCAGCACCCCCTTGACTTGGCCAAGCAGCACTGTTACAAATGGAAGTGGGGGTTTAGCTAAATCCTTGCCTTTTGGCCAGGCCTCTGGCAGCAGGCAGTAACTTTATTGAGATGGCCAGCACCACAAAACCCACTCTCATTTGTGAGTTCTTTAACAATGGCTCATTCAGTCTCTTATGGAATTGATTCTTTATTTAATAGACATAAAACTAACAGACATAATAAGACTTAAACCAAACTAAATACTACACAGGAATAAGGACAAAAAGAGACTACTAGTCGGTAAATACAGCATGAGGTTAAAGGTACCTTTAATTAAATGTTACAGCTGGTGAAGAAACAATACAAATTAGGATTCAGTGTATCTTACCATCCCTTTGTTGGTGGAGCACACATCAGGACCCTTTCCCTCAATCCCTAGGGAAGTAACCATGGAACTTGTGTCCAGACTCCAGGGAGAGGTCTCCTGCACTTTCACTGTGTGTGTGTGTACAAGGTTTCTGCCTCTGTGATAATTTGTGTGTCTTTCATAGTTTGTAAAACAGGGTCTCTTAGTCAAGAATATTTCTTTTATCTCTTCCCACATCAGCTCTCCAGAATAAAATGTTCATTCTTAGCTGAGGACTGAGCCCTTTTGGCGCCAGTTGCCCCCTTGCTGAGCCTTTCAGGCCAGGTTACCTCTTTATGCACCAACTCTCTGTGGTAAAGGGGCAGAGGGGTGTGGACATCCTGCCACAAGCATCCACCAAAGGAACTGCTTGTTGGCTGCCAGCATCAGCTCAAAATTAAACCAGCATGGTGACAAGATAAGGTAAGAGAAGGGGATTTCAGGTGGGGTGTTCCAGACAGAGGTACTTGATGCAGCAGAACTGCTAGTTTAATTTTGTAGATATAGAAATACAATACATTGCAGACTTAAGAGGGAGAAAGTTCAGCCCTGCTGAATGTCCTGTTGTTGTATTCAGAGGATATTCAATTCCTATCCTTGTATTTATGTATTCTCATGTTCCCTGGAGAACAGGAGTTGGTGCCAGACACCTGTGTCTTCCTTGGATTGGCTGATCTGACTGTGTTTCAGAATGGTGATTAATAAGAAACACAGTTTATTGCTGCTGCCCAGCACTGCAACCTCCCTAGCTCTTATTCCATCACTAGGATATGGGGAGCTCACATGAGGATGCTACTTATTTCTGTCACTGATTGATCACAATGTCCCCTTTTCTCTTAGTGAGCAGATGCAGATACCTCCAGTACACTCACAGGAACAAAACCTGGGATTTGTCAACCAGAGACTACAAGTTTTTCCTACAGATGCAGTGGTTACAGCAGTAATACCCAGAGAATAAGAAATAACCACAGGACCTTCAGAGTGGCCAACCATAGTCTGTAAGCTCTGTCAGGGTCTTTAAAGGAGTGTCTGGAAACCAAGGAGCTGCTGAATGACCTGGGCATCACTCGATGCCAACTTGGTATCACAAACTAATAAAAAAGAAAATACTAAGATTCTAGAAGGCCTCGCTTAATTCACTGTTACCGTTATGAGTCATCAAGTTATCATTTGCTAGATCAAAGTTAAAGATTAGGGACAGAGGAAAATATTTTCCTGGTGAGACCGAATGTTCTCAAAGGCAATCTTTTGCTGTGTCTCTGGAGTTACCTCTCTGTCATTTCTGTTAAAAGCAGGTGAAATGGTCTGAATTCAGTGATTCAGTGGCTTCAACTGAGACCTGAGACATCAGATAATGAATTGTAGAATCACAGGATGGTTTGGGTTGGAAGAAACCCTAGAGATAATCTAGTTTCAACACCCTGCTATGGCCAGAGACGCCTTCCACTAGACCAGGTTGCTCAAAGTCCCATGTAGCCTGGCCTTGAATACTTTCAGGGATGAGGTACCCACAGTTTCTCTGGGCAACCTGTGCCAGGGCCTCACCACCCTCACAGGGAAGAATTTCTTCCTAATATCTAATCTAAACCGACCTTTTATCAGTTTGAAGCCATTCCCCCTTGTCCTGTCACTAGATTCTTTTACAATCTCTCTCCTTTATTCTTACCGGCTCCCTGCAGGTATGGAAGGCCACAATTAGGTCACCCCAAATCCTTTTCTTTTCCAGCCTGAACAACGCCAGCTTTCTCAGCCTTTCCTCACAGCAGAGGTGCTCCCTCCCTCTGATCATCTTGGTGGCCTCCTCTAGGCTTGCTCCAGCAGGTCCCTGTCCCTCCCGTACTGGGAGCCCAGGGCTGGATGCAGGGCTCCAGGTGGGTCTCAGCAGAGCAGAGGGGCAGAATCCCCTCCCTCCCCTGCTGCCCACGGGGCTCTGGATGCAGCCCAGGACACGTTTGGCTCTCTGGGCTGTGAGTGCCATGGCCGGGCCATGTGCAGCCTCTCACCCACCTGGGGCTGGTGGTAAGGAAAGCTCCCTCTTGCAACACTGGTGTACTTGAGTGATTGTAAATGTGGCATTTACAGGAAGCAGCCATAAGGAAAACTCCACGGTGAGAGAAGCTGATCAATGAACTATCAGAGAGGGAATGTTTTATTGCAAGCCCATCAGGACTCACTGTTAACAGAAGTGCAGTGAACCTTGAAACTCCCCACCTGCTTTTTTATACAGATGGCAGTCATGGAGATACTGTGTTTCCTGTTTATTCTCCTATATCTGTTATCTGTTTCATACAATAACTGAACTAAAGAAGCTTGACATTTAATTACAACTGTGTTCATGTGGAAGTATATTTCCTTGTTGTTTGGCTCTGGAAGTAAATATATTGTCAGGTTATAATGAATGGGAGCATGAATCAGACTCATAACAAACAGTGCTGGCTGATAAAATTACTGTCCTGTGCTGCAATGCCCATCTGAAAGCTAATGAATGGTGGTCTTTTGCAAGTTCTTTTCTATGTTACTCTGTCCCTAGTCCCAGCCTTCATGGTAGTCATTGCAAGTCACTGGAGTGCCACATGCACTGGAAGACAAGTGAGATTTTTTTTATTCCCTAGCAGCTGTGGCTGTAGAAGTGACTGATTTCACTTTCCTGCCCATCTGATGACATGTTGAGCCCAGCTGATCTCAGCTTCACAGCCATGTAAAGGTGAAGTTTTCCTTTACATCTAAACTGAGGGGAGGCCATGAGCACCCACAGGCTCCAGCATGAGGCAGGAGTTTGCTTTCAGTAGACGTTCCTCTTGTCAGGTGCTCCCTGTGTGTCACCTGGAAGCTGACAGCTCCCTGTTGCTCCCAGGTCACCTCATTTCTGTTCATGCCTCTCTTCCAAGTTTGTGTTTAGGCGAGGAGGCAGAGGGGATGTTGCAGATGACAGATCCTGCTGTAGTTAATGGGAGCAAGAATGTCTCGTGGTAATTATTTTTGTTACATGATCAGCAAACTTCATATTTTGGCTGAAGATTCCTGGCACCCTCTACCCTCCCACAAGGGTGGTCTGACTGACCAGGGTAACCCCATTTAGTGAGGACCCTGCTGGGAGGAGGCAGTGCTGGCTTGTGTGAGGGTGCTGGGGCTTTGGATCTGCTGCTCCTCTGCCTTTCCAACACCCACTCAGACCCAGCATCAATCTGCCTGACCTGCCGTCACCCTCCAAATTGGAAACGTGCATTTCATGCCTTGTTGGACTCATGGTATCCCAAAGAGTAGCAAGATGGGGAACACAAAAACATTCTCTGCCAAGCTCAACAAATCAATTGAGCAACCCATCAGGGCTCACTAACTGCTGTTGTAACAATCATGGGAGGAGGTAAAAAACGAATACATTTGAAACTTTGTTCAGGAAGCCATTATTCTGGTGCTGGGATTGACATGGCCATGACCTTTATTGGGTCTGAAACTGCAGAAAGGTAAACAAAACTTGAGTTGAAATTTTCCATCCAATACAGTCCCCCTTACCCTTGGTAAAGAATGTGTCTGTGTAAATGGGAAGTAGCAGTGGGAACAAACTATGCTAGAAAGTTTTGTTTCTGAAAAGTAGAATATTGTAGTGTTTGGAACCTTTTTTGCATTAATTCAGGTTTTGTGAGCAATCATGAACAATGTCAAAACTGATATTTTCCAATATTTCTGAAATTAAATGTTCCTTTTGGGGGGTGTTGGTCAGTGCTCTTCACAGGACAGAAACTCTATTGGGTAGTTTGTCTACTAGCTGGCACATCCTTGGATCACATTTGCATGAGTGAGTGCCTTCATTGCTGTTTTGTGCAGGATGCTGGAGGGGACC